TATCAGCTCGACACGCATTCCCGTAATCGCGGCGAAGCTTTGGCCGCATTGTTCTCTCCAGTGGACAGTGTCCTGCCACCCTGACCGAAAGTGAGTCTTGGTTTATTGGTTTGTTTTGACGCTACTGTACAATAATTCCATTATTGACATGTCTGCTACTGTGAGCTCACTCAGAGAACCTGTACCCCTTTCGATTCTCTACGGAGTTACTATATCGTTAGTGAGTGGTATTTTGCATTCCCCACGGTGCTCTCATGTAGCCACTTAGTGGGTGGGGATTCATTGACATTCGCACTACACGCAATGTCTCATTATGCTAGAGAGGTCGCCTTTGAGCACAATTCCTCCCTGTCAGTTCCCTCCCATAATGCCTCTCGCGGAAGCTAAACTGGGACAAGTGACAGGTGAGTGTTATGGCGTCTGTTCAATTTTTTCCATGATACGATCGCTATATTTGTGTGTGCTTGACAGAATTCCTCCTCCCTGGCCTCCGGTCTTTGGGAGTCTGTGTTTATGCATAATATGTACCCCAAGGACGATCTCTGAAAAGAATTAACCAAACCTGCAGAGGTTTTCAATTCTTTGAAGAGAGTCGCCCTGGGGTAGGGCCTCCCCGCCTCCCCGCAATTCTGTTCACTGATAAGAATTCAGCAGAAGGAATGATGATACGGGTCTAGGAGCCTACCCAGTTGGTGCGCATGCTTAAGGGAGGTAACTCCGCGGAGGTAGGGTCCGTGATAATAAATAAAAGAGTTTATTTATTGTTCAATCTTTTATTCAAAAACATTGATACAACTGTCACAGGACATTTTTCAGCCGGAAAATGCATAATATGTACCCCAAGGACAGAAAACTCTCTTCAAAGAATTGAAAACCTCTGCAGGTTTGGTTAAGTTAAGTCTGTACAATAATAGTACAGAGTGACATCAGTAGTAGAATCCTTCATGGACGTAAATAGCGTAGTGACACACAGTGGTAATTAGGTCATGTCTGACAAGTGCTGTTACCGCGAACGTTCAGTGCTTGATAAAACATAGCTATCAACAGTGAATATGCCCCTATAAAGATGCCTCAGATCTGTGAACTTCAGAACCAGGTAACTGTCTATGATGTTAGGTTATTATTTACTTTAATGTTAAAAATATGGATGGACATTTGCAGATAGATCGTGATATAACGAAAATAGGTGACACTTGTGATTGACAAAGTTTACATGATGTTTTTAATACTTATACTATATCAATTTAGATTCTATTACAATATCTGTACTACCTGGCCGACGACCCCTACAGATGTAGTACCTTTGCCGACAACGACCCCTTCAGATGTAGTACCAGTGCCGACACCGACCCCTTCAGCTGCAGCGCCTGTGCCGACCACGACACTTCAGCGATAATAATCCAATGACAAGGTCAATCTGATTAATAAGAGACACATTGTACCATGTGGGGAATCGAGCCCGGGTCTTCGGCGTGATGAGCGAACGCTTTAACCACTACGGTACCCTACCGCCCCCAGCAGTTCATGCAGGACATTATGTAGGCAATGTAATTTAAGCCAGAGGGTATATATCATGGCTGACCATGTCCCCAGTCTGACTGACTGACTGAGTTTAGTTTTACGCCGCTTTTAGCAATATTCCAGCAATATCACGGCGGGGGACACCGGAAATGGGCTTAACACATTTTGCCCATGTGGGGAATCGAACCCGGGTCTTCGGCGTGACGAGCCAACGCTTTAACCACTAGGCTACCCCACCGCCCCATGTCCTCAGTCAATGTTACAAAAAGTTGGTAAATATACCACTGGAATAAAGTAACTGAGCATTTATTTTCAATGCAAAAAGATAATAATATGATTTGTGGTGTTTTCCTTAATCACTGTTCAACTGTTGACAGGATAATATCGAAATTTGTGTGATTTCACTTTGGGCAGGGTGACACGCCTTTGAAGATATGTCATGTCAAAGGCCAGTTCACAAATTCTGTAGGCTTTACTACAACAACCCATAGAGGACACCAAGCGAATAAAGAAAGCTTGGTTGGAGAACCATGTCGGAACCAACGCTTGTCCCAATTAAGCTAGATCAGGTTGGGGAAACCTACCGATCGGCCTATAAAAGGCCGCCAAACGGGATATTATAGGCCGTTCTGCCTATTTTGCTATAGGCCGATCAGGCTATATTTGACCATTATTATTAACATTTCACAAACTATCAATTTCCGCACGAAATGGTTTATTAGATCATAGAGATGAATAGTTAATGGACCTGCTCAGCTTGAAAAAGATAAGTTTTTGGACAAAATGGAAATTTATATAATGTTCAGGAAAAGATGTTTCATTTAAGAACACAATTTTGCACAGATTTTCATTTTGACAACTAAAACTGAATATCTATGTCATTAATTTTCAGTGAAAATTGTCAAAAATAGTGTAGTCTTATATTTAATTAGCAATTTCCAAACTCCTTTATTATGTGATGAAAATGCTCAAAAAGGGTTTGAATGAAAACCTCATGACATCAAAACTTGAATGATGTTAATATCCTCATGCGGAAATGCACCACTTCAAATTTTTTGATAAATATCATAATTATTGGCTGATCGGCCTATAGCAAAATAGGCGGAACGGCCTATTATATCCCATTTGGCCTATTATAGGCCGATTGGTAGGTTTCCCCAACCTGTAGATTAGCAGCCGAGATTGTTTAGTGGCTGTATCCTCACAGGTGGTTGAAGTATTGTGAAATTATTGTCCTGTGGGGGTACGTAAGTGCTTAAACATTCAAGGTAAAGTAAACTTCCCGAATTTTTAAAACGCAATATTGTTGTGTTTTTGAGTTACGGCTACATTGAACTGCAATCACCAGCTGCTGAGGGGATGATATAAATCCGTCTGGGGCCCATGCAGGTAGCTGAAGTTCTGTAAGTCCCCATGGTCCCTAGTATGGTGATCTAATTCTTCAGTTGCTGGTGATCCATTGCCCGTTTTTACATTGTATTGTCCTGCATTATAGCATAAGTTTTTAGTTACGTGCTAGTTATATATCTCTGTCCGTGATACACTAGTAGTTTTACTGTTCATCGTAAACAGTTTTATATCTTCTAATATTATTTATCTTTGCTGAAAATTAATTGTTCTCGTCACGATATGGCTGAAATATTGCCGCTGTGACGATAAATAGTAACTCACCCCCGATCACCCAATTAAGCTAACATCAGCGGCTGATCATTCTGGGCTTGACGTAAACGTCGCTCCATTTCGTCCCAAACTTGCTCAACAGGGGACAGGTCCGGAGAAACAGCTGGCCATGGGTGTACCAGAACGTCTCTGTCCTTGAATGAACGGCGGTCCAAGGCAAATCTCGAGATCGTGTTCCCATTATGTTGAAATCGTCGATCTCGATCTCTATCTAGCCATAGAGATGAGATCGTGTTTCGATGGACACCAAAATGCCTGTACAATTCATTTTGGGCCATTCCAGTCTCTGTAAGCCGTGACGTGACGTACACGCAGTTTAGGTTGAAATTAACGTGTTTTCCACACCATTAAGAGACTTAAATATAATAAACCGTTCTTCAATTTTCAACATCATGTGCAAACTTGAGGTGTCAAAAAGCATGCAAGAAGTGAGTAAGTTCCTTCTGCACAAAGTGCACGTGCCACGCGCGATACGTGACATCAAATTTCATGCAAAGTCTTTCGCTACATGTTTATTTAGGGTTATTTATATCACTTTTCAAATAACTTCTATCATATGCAATTTTATGTTATGCACAGTTCCTTTTTCCGTTAGTATATTTAGAGAATATATTAAATAATATTATTAAATATATATTACTATTGTGAAGAGATGTGATAATTCGTATTTGTTTCCGGAACAAGATACAGAAAAGTAATAATACTGAAAGGTTTCTGACCTGAATAGAGTAAACCTCCCTCCATCAGAGTTCATGCAGAATGCATCAGGAAGGCAGGTGAGAAAGGAAGTTTAGAGAAGAGGGCCAAAAGACCAATCAGAAGACAGGTAGCATCTGACAGGTGGCAAAGGAAGTCAGATTATACACAGTTACATAAGGTGTTGAAGTAGCTAAAAATAGACGGGGAGGTCCAGGGCCTCCTTTCACAATCCTCGATAATCTCCATTCAGGGTATACGTTACGGTCAGGAGTGAGTGAGTATGGTTTTACGCCGCTTTTAGCAATATTCCAGCAATATCACGGCAGGGGACACCAGAAATGAGCTTCACACATTGCACCCATGTGGGGAATCGAACCCGGGTCTTCAGCATGTCGAGCGGACGCTTTAGCCATTAGGCTACCCCACCTCCCCTACGATCAGGAGAGTGATCGTAACGTATGTATATGATATATACGTACCCTGGAGATTATCGAGGATGCCTTTCACAAGTCACTAAGGTAACCTTAGTGAAATGTTAAAGAATGGGAGTTAAGGTTAACCTTAGTAAAGATAGCTTCGTGAAAGGAGCCCCAGGTGAAGCTGGATAAATCAGAGCTATGTACAGGCTGTTCAGGTATCGATCTAAGGGAGAAGAAGGCTGTCAATCAACTGCAGACAAGGACAACATAAACCTTACAACAACATGAAATGATGATGATTGATGAACATACATGTATATGTACCCTCACACATACGATGACATTACGCTTAAGAATATCGAAGTTGACTGAGTACTGCATGTGTCATTGACCGAATGTATATATAACGGTATTAACCGAATAAAAGACTAACATGTAGCCTCTGAAATGACCATATTTTACAGAAAAGACGACTCCTAGATTATAATCATAAGATATGAAGAAAAGGAGCCCAGGGACTTCAATTTCTTCATTTTTCCTGAAACTGGTAATCTAGACCCGCCACATTATTTTATTCTTGCATAGATTCCTTTCTTGGGTATATTTGTTTCAGAGTCTGTGGCAGACTATACGACTGACTACAAATATATTTGTAATATTAGACGAGCATCGGGAAGTGGCTGTGAATTGAAACACTTGAAAATAGTGACAGTTGACAAATCGAATACATGCATACGGTCTCTAAGAGAGCGTACAGAAGCTACGACCCGCAGAGAGTTGCCTCCCTTCCACTAGGTAGCGCAAAATCGCGGGAATTAAGAAAATGGCGGGTGTAGAAGCAATGGAAGTGGAGGCAGTGACAACTCCAGTGAAACCTGCCAAAGAAAATGTTAAATCAACTGGTTATGAGATGCCCTGGTTAGTTTTGACTGATGTGCAACTGATCACGTGATTACATGATCTATCGCGTGTTGTTATTCACGTTGTGCCTCCGATGGTCTGTTTTGACCTGTTTTCGTTCACCATCAAAATGGCGAAAAGAGTAAATATTGACGGGAATATCGGCGATTAATATCTTTGACTGTTTTACCAAAGTTCCATTACTAAGCTACAGTATGATCTGGCATTATGTGAAAGTGAATCTTCTCTTTACGGTCAAACAAAGACACAGTATACTGATGTAGTTTCATAAAGTCTCTCACTCTCAGCTGTTCATAACAACTTGTAGTAAATGAACGACAACTTTTCCAGGTCATAATTAAAAAATCAACTTTATATCAACTATCTATGGCTGTGATACACTCCCCCTCCTCCAAATATACATGACATATTCGTTATCTGTGCGATTTCACAGAGAATCGACATTTAGTTCTTGTAACACATGTGTAAAGAAGTGAATATGATGGTATCATTTGATGCGTCTGTAAATGTGTTAATTTGTGTTTTGATGTTAACCATGTAAATCTCTTAAGATTGAGACAGTCTTGATTTCTTGTTTGTTCCAAGCCACAGATGATGGCTATGAATGCCACTTTTGTTGTTCCTCAGGGTAGAAAAGTACCGACCCACCAAACTATGTGAAATTGTCGGCAACGAAGAAACAATCAGCAGACTTTCTGTATTTGCGAAAGAAGGAAATGTGCCAAACGTCATTATTGCTGTAAGTAATTCATGCTACACAGATTCAGTAGCACTATCTCCAACAGTAGACTCTATAACACTATCTCCAACAGTAGACTCTATAACACTATCTCCAACAGTAGACTCTATAACACTATCTACAACAGTAGACTCTATAACACTATCTCCAACAGTAGACTCTATAACACTATCTCCAACAGTAGTCTCCAACAGTAGACTCTATAACACTATCTCCAACAGTAGACTCTATAACACTATCTCCAACAGTAGACTCTATAACACTATCTCCAACAGTAGACTCTATAACACTATCTCCAACAGTAGACTCTATAACACTATCTCCAACAGTAGACTCTATAACACTATCTCCAACAGTAGACTCTATAACACTATCTCCAACAGTAGACTCTATAACACTATCTCCAACAGTAGACTCTATAACACTATCTCCAACAGTAGACTCTATAACACTATCTCCAACAGTAGACTCTATAACACTATGGGTTAATTTGTACATAACAACTCAAACTAGGTTCTCACAAACTAGTGGCTGCATCTAACTTGGTGCTTAGCCAGACAGTTCATATTCTGACAATCATAATCCTAATACATGGTCAGTAATGTTGGAAAGGGTTCAGTCTTTAGCATTTAGGAAAGAATTTGCTACCAGGTGCAAGGATACTGGTCATGGTGTCAATAGAGCCTGTAACTTTAGTGTAAGTCTCACAAGGCGCTACTCACGGTACTAAGCTGGTTCCCGTCTCCCTTGCGTCACAAACTTGCAATATGCAAGTCGGGGCCCAGCTTACTTCCGGTACCAGATTTCCCGTGACAAGTGTGTACAGTCAGACCTCGTATATCCGAACTTCAGATATCCGAATACCTCGGTTTCCCAAGATTCTTCTCAAACAACAAAATTTTCTAGTTACAATTTACCTCGTATATCCGAATGTTTGGTTTCCGTATCTGAACGGTCAATTTTAGTAACGAAACAGCAAAATATGTACAAATTTGCCTCGTATATCTGAACACCAAGGCTGTCGTCGGCAAGATGTCTGATGTTACCGCTCCTCAACAGTGCTCAATCCTATATCAAAACCCAAGGTCTGATGTCGGCAAGGTATCAAAACACGAAGTCAATCATGTCTACCGCATGTCAAAACATTGTGCTGGCTGGTAGTTCATTCATTGTTTATTGAATATTTATCACAGGCCGTGTAGGTTCATTAGAGAAAAAACAATTAAAGTTTGACATTGAGTTGACACTGATTCAAATCGTTGATTGAGTAAGAATAAATAAAGACGGAGGTGTATGCTAGATATAGAAACAACACAAAGGCGTGGATGGCAGCAGAGCTGTTTCATGATTGGCTGCTGTCTTTTGATTGACAGATGAGGTCACGTGGAAGGCTGGTCAGTTTGCTTGACAATGCGTCTAGTCACAACTGTGAAAATCTTAATCTGACCAGCGTGATTGTCCATTTCCTGCCACCCAACACAACCGCACACATTCAGCCAATGGATGCAATGGATTTGAAAATGTCGTCGACCTCACAAACCTGGAGCTCTTGTTAAAAATCCAAGCAGCGAATAACAACTCTGTCCGTCAACAATCATCAATCGAAGACTTTTTCAAGCCGATGTAATTTATGTTATGTTGTGTTATGCAAGATGTTATGTTAAATAAAGATGTAGTTATGTTTCAATGTTATTTTTTAGTTGTTTTGTTTTCTCGTGTAGCCGACTGTCTAGGTCCTGATTCAGATATCCGAATGATTTGTTTGTCCGAACAATTCAATAAGAAACCAAAGTGTTTGGATAAGCGAGGTTTGACTGTATTCAAGAACCAGTTCTGGTTCCAAGTTGCGTGGGCGCCAACTATGAATTCAATAGACTGGACCAAGTGTTCATTGTTTGTCACTGGGAGTAGTAAGCTTTAGCGAAGTGCTGTGATCTGTATGTTTTACTTTTCAACATGTTCAGTGAAAGGAAAAAGTCAGGGCAAGTGAAGTTGTTTCTCTAATTGAACTGTCCTTGGGTGTTAGCACTGATTATTACATGAATGGAGTTAATTCACATTGTTTGAAATTTAGCATTAAAGGCAATGTTTCCTTGTCATAACCTAATGCCCGAAGATCCTGGTAACAACTGGTCTTGAACCCCTGTTATATTGTATTGTCTTATTTAATTGGAATGTTTTAGCTTTTTTCGCTAGTTTTATATTATATCTGTGATTATCTAGTATTTTTACTGTCCATCGTCGACAGGTTTTAATCTTCAAAATATTTTCACTTTTTATTGTATAAATTGTTTTCATCACGATATGGTTGAGATATTGCCAATGTGACGTTAAATATTAACTCACTCACTCACTCGCTTGAACCCGTGCTTGGCTTAAGAGGAGCTGACGAGTAGCTATGGTCAGGCTGTCAATTGCATAGATTATTGTCCTTGATGTCAATCCCTTTATACCTTCAGTTGCTGGTGTATAAATTGTTCTCGTCACGATATGGCTGAGATATTGCCAATGTGACGTTAAATATTAACTCACTCACTCACTCACTTGAACCCTTGCTTGGCTTAAGAGGAGCTGACGAGTAGCTATGGTCAGGCTGTCAATTGCATAGATTATTGTCCCTTGATGTCAATCTCTTTATACCTTCAGTTGCTGGTGTATAAATTGTTCTCGTCACGATATGGCTGAGATATTGCCGATGTGACATTAAATATTAACTCACTCACTCACTCAGTTGCTGGTGATCTATAGCCTATTAAATTTTTTAACTCACTCACAATCTAAATCCCTTTATTTTCTCACCTGGAATATTGCTGAATGTGGCTAAAGCATAAAATGTAAGACAAGGGCTTGAAGTTAAACATTTATATGTTCCTAGTTTGTTAACCTTAAAAAACCAGGATAAACTCTCCCTAGTAGTGTTAAAACCTATTCTCTTTGTTTTTGTATTATTATAACTTGAGGTTACAGCATAAATTACTGTGTTACTATGGTCACGGATAGGTCACTATGTTTTGGTCACGGATAGGTCACTGTGTTTACGGATGTGTTACTATGGTTACTGTATAGGGTCCCCCGGGAACAGGGAAGACAACAAGTATCCTGTGTCTGGCCAGGGCTCTGCTAGGGGCGTCATTCAGAGATGCTGTACTGGAACTCAATGCTTCAAATGACAGGTGAGTTGACGTTATAGTACTAGACTCATATTTCAGACTAGTGGCTAGATCAAAGAAATTTTACTTGACACAGGTTTCAGACTTGTGGCTAAGGGACCGTTCATAATTTATGGCTAGGGGGGATGGTGATGATTTTTATGGAGAAGCATGTACAATGTGACTGACACCATCCCCCACCCCACCCCACCCCACCCTCCTAAAATTTATGTACAAAATAAGTGACCCCCTTGCATGTCATGTACAACATCAATGACCCCCTCCCTTCCTATATTTTCTAAGCATAATTTAAAACATGTTTTTATGTACAAAATTCCTGACCCCCTAGCTCCCAAGAACAAGATGGGTGACCCCCTTAAAATCATCATCATCACCCCCACCCCCTAGCCATAAATTATGAACGGTCCCTAAACCACAATTTTTTTACTAAACTCAGGTTTCAGTCTAGTTGGGAAAGTCACAGATTGGGCTTGTAGGATTTATCAAGGCATACTCAGACATTCTGCCTCCAGTCTTCAGCAAGTCCTCCTACAGACCAGAGATGGTTTGTTTGATACAGCTATCATTAACATGTGTTGTTGTTTCAGAGGTATTGACGTAGTCAGAAATAAAATCAAGATGTTCGCACAGCAGAAAGTCACACTACCCAAGGGAAGACACAAAGTCATCATCCTGGATGAAGCGGACAGGTAGAAATGTTTCCATGGTTACATAATGCTTTCACTGGTTTCAGGTTATATCAACCCAACAAATGTTGGTACAGTTGTTTTTGTTATTGAACTTCTCTGGTAAATAATGTATTACACAAATGACTTGTGTAGAACTGATGGTTGCATGGTAACTTGCAATGTTTCCAAACCACTGTAGGTTAAAAAGCTGCCGTATCTAAGATACATGGAATCGTCTATTTTTTTGTCCAAATGTTTTAAATAGTTTTTTTGACGCTATTTCAAATAGTGATAAAATCATTTGGTGATTTGTGCTCCAGGACATGATTTTAAATTAAGACAGTAGAATGGTATTTGTCTGGACATTCTCAAGCAATTAAGTCATTAGACAAGGATGGTTCCATTCAGTAGTTAATATACCAACCCAAAAAGCTGTGGGTTGGAATTGATCTTCAGAAACCCATGTCATAAAAGGCGACTAGCGGGACAGCGTCCTCATGCTTTACTGATTTCGTTCATGCATGCAGAGCTACAGATAACTTTTTGGGTCGTTGAGTCATGTACTCGCTTGTGTTCATCTCAGTTGGGTATCCTTATGTTCCTTAGAGTAACCAAACAAATTGTACCCAATTGACTCAAACTCAATTGGGTATTTTGCCATTAATTGTAAAAATATAATAAAATTTAAATGTTAGTTTCCGTATTTGTTATTTTTGTTGATCGGTTAAATGAGAAACAATAAGAAAGCAAGTTGCCAAGTTCATGTGCTGAAATAGAACCTCTCAGTTATTTTATCTATCCACCTGTACACAAGCTAAGATTTGACATTTTTGTGTGTACGCATGTAAGATAAAACTTATTGAGTATTTTATAAAATTCAAGTGTACTTGTACTCACTAGACTTAATAGGAATTCAGTTGTCACATTAATATTTGCGTAATTTACGCAGATACGTAGCTTATCTGTACCTCTGTGCATGTCATCGATCCCATATTGCTTAGATCGATGCTCATGCTGTTGGTCACTGGATTGTCTGGTCCAGACTCAATTATTTACAGACCACCATCCTATAGCTGGAATATTGCTGAGTGCGGCTTAAAACAACAAACCAACAATAGCACTATGAAAGCAGTGTATATTTGTTTCTTCTACAGTATGACAGAGGGAGCCCAGCAGGCCTTGAGAAGGACCATGGAGATCTACTCAAAAAACAACCAGATTTGCGCTGGCCTGTAACTCATCCGAAAAAATAATAGGTGAGCACAAACTGAATCTTCTGCCGTAACTGTATACTAAAGTATTTCACATAAAAATCATGGGAACTCCAGGTGTTCACCATGCTTGGTAGAGTTGCTTCCCTTGGCTTGGGGAGTAGTCTATGAGATATTTTGTTGGAGTGAGTTTAGTTTTACGCCGCCGCATATTTAGTAATATTCCAGCAATAACACGACCAGAAATGGGCTGCACACATTGTACCCATGTAGGGAATTGAATCCTAGTCATTTAGCATGACGGGTGAACGCTTTAACCACTAGGCTACCCGGTTTCACTGGAGACAAATGGCAATGGAGCATTTTCAATCTTGACAACTTCTGATAGGACATTCTTCTAAATCTACCTAATTTGAAAAAAATAGCTTGGGACATTTTGGATGACGGTAACTCAGTGTCCTAGAAACAAACCCATCCGAAATCCTGACCATACCTGCGCTCATAGGTTTCACAAAAGTGGTAAACGTCTCAATGCCCAGAACTGGTTCCTAAGTATGTGTTTCTGTGTGTAGAACCCATCCAGTCACGGTGTGCGGTGTTGCGCTACTCCAAGTTGTCTGACGGCCAGCTGTTGGCGCGTCTGCTGGAGGTGTGTGACAAGGAGGGAGTGAGCTTCAATGACGAGGGACTGGAGGCCATCATCTTCACCGCCCAGGGAGACATGAGACAGGTGAGTCCGCAGGTTCAGGAGACACTTCAGCAAACAGCGAGTGAGTGGGTGAACATTTAACGTCACATCGGCAATATCTCAGCCATATCGTGACAATCCACAAACACACTGGTCTGCTGGACCAAGGACAGTCAATTTTGATCAGGACCAGTAATGTAAAGCTTGTGGTGATTTGACTGGTTAGTTGAAAGTAGCACGTCAAGTGTACTGATTGTAGTTACTTTTACAGAAAGACTGGATGTACATATGGTTTAAAGTGTTAAAATTGTTGGAAGCTCACATGTGGGCTATTTTCTTTAAGAAATGTCTGTATTTATTGGTCTCAGTGTAATTATCATTCTTGTATAAATTGTTCATTTTGATATGGCTTAACTATTGCTATTGGGACATTAATGCTCCCTCATGTATTTATACAGATTTTGTCATTTATTGTCATTAGTTGTCATGTAGTATTGTAGAGAAAGTTTCAAAATATACAGGTCTTATGACAATAAAACTTGAGTTTCACATAGTTTTCTTTTTCCTGCAGGCAATCAACAATTTACAATCAACGTTCCAGGGATTTGGCCACGTAAATACAGAAAATGTATTTAAGGTAAACAAGTAAGAGTCTGTTTTGAGGTTAAGAATTGTATGGGTAATTTTCCACTTGTTCAGTTAAGGTTCACTCCATCCTCCCTTCATTTTGTCACTGTATGGAACGACCCGTGAAGGTCTGGGTTCGAATGAATCTTCAGTAACCCATGCTTGTCGTAAGAGGCGACTAACAGGATCGGGTGGTCAGGCTCGCTGGACTTGGTTGACACATGTCATCGGTTCCCAATTGTGCAGATCGATGCTCCTGCTGTTGATCACTGGATTGTCTGGTCCAGACTCGATTATTTACAGACTGCTGCCATATAGCTGGAATATTGCTGGGTGCGGCGTAAAACTAAACTCACTCACTCACTGTATGTAAACCTTGCAGATCAGAGTTAAAATTGGTCTACACGTACCCATGTTTGGTGTAAGGGGCTAATGGATCAGGTGGTCAGACTCGCTGACTTGGTTGACACATGTCATCGTATCCCAATTGCGTAGATTGATGCTCACGGTATCAATCACTGGATTGTCTGGTCCAGACTCGATTATTTACAGACACCATATTGCTGAGTGTAGCATCAACAAACTGATGTAGAAAATATTGTTATTACTCATGGTTTGCCACCTCTCTATGGCCTGATGGATAGCGTGTTTGTTTGGAGATGCGAAGGTTGGTGTTTTGATCCCATGTGGCGTCATACGATATTTAGAATGGAGGCTGCGTGTTGTTAGGAAACCTGTTGCTTGGCATGATGAGGATAGAACAAGGACTAGTCTGGTGCAGCATTTACCAAACCACACACTGTAGTGTTCCTCTGTTTCAGGTTTGTGACGAGCCCCACCCGGTGACTATCAAGCACATGCTGGAGCACTGTGTGACAGGCAACCTGGACGAGGCGTACAAGATGATGGCACACCTGTGGGGGCTGGGGTACTCCCCCCATGACATCATCACCATCATCTTCAGAGTCTGCAAGAACCAGAACATGCCCGAGTTTCTTAAACTCGAGTTCATCAAAGTAAGGGAAAGAGAATCTTAAGCTACAACATATTGCTTGTTCCTATTTTCTTGATTATTGATTGACCCGTGAAGATCCGGGTTAGAATAAGGGGCGACTAATGGGATTGGGTGGTCAGGCTCGCTGACTTGGTTGACACATGTCATTGTATCTCAATTGCGTAAATCAATGCTCATGCTGTTGATCACTGGATTGTCTGAGTCCAGACTCCGTTATTTACAGACCGCCACCATACATCTGGAATATTGCTGAGTGTGGTGTTAAACAACAAAGAATCAATCGATTATTGGTTGGAAGGGATTTCTTTAATCTTAAATGGGGGACAGTTTGGAGCATCTTCCAAGAAAGTTTAAAAGTCTTTTGTTGCTCAAACCAATAAATGTCTTCAGTTTGATTCAGGCTGGAATATTCAGAAGCCTTGTAATATTGCAAGAATGTTGCTGATATTAATGTTATTATTTCATTGAAATGACCATTGTCAGACTCGTCAATAACGCCAACAGTTCACATAAGTTGTCACTGGTGTTACGATTCAAAATATATATTGACGCCAATTTTCTTTGTCCTAATAAATGATATTTTGGACACAGAAATCTTGGCAAATAATTTCAATTTCCTGGTGGGTGTTTTCCAGGTTTAATGTTGAGTAAGAGGATTTTGTGGTCAAACTCTCTCAGCTGATAGATGCTGCCTTATCCCAATGCTTATCCCAGTCACTGGATTATCTGCTCCAGACTTAATTCTTTACAGTTTACCATCACAAAGTTTAAATATTGTCAAGAAAAACATTCAACAACAAAGAAATATGTTCCTCCTTCTCGATATGCTGTACAAAGCTCCAGAATTCAAATATCCATAGCTAGTTGGCATAAGAATAGTATCTCCCTTCTTAAGCATGAGTGCACAGCAAAGAAGTCCTCGCGTTTATCCATCAGCAACCAAGATGCAGATTGTTGAGAAGAGAGGGGTGGTGGGGTAGTCTAGTGGTTAAAGCATTTGCTTGTCACGCCGAAGACCCAGGTTCAATTCCCCACATGGGTACAATGTGTGAAGCCCATTTCTGGTGTCTCCCGCCATGATATTGCTTGAATATTGCTAAAAGCGGCGTAAAACTCAACTCACTCACTGAATCACTTGTAGAGAAGGGTGGGATGTGATAGAAGTTATGTGCTTTGAATCCTTAAAACATGACGACTATTGTTGGATATTACAGGAGATCGGCTACACCCACATGAGGATAGTGGAGGGAGTGGACTCGCTGCTGCAGATGGCAGGGATGCTCGCCAGGCTGTGTAAACTATCAGCAACTCCAGGGACAGCAGTGGGACAGTGATCCCCATCAGCAACAACGCTCAGACAGCATTCATAGTGCTGGGTTATGGGACCACATGGATAACTGAAGGGCACTGGGCAAATACACCTTTGATTGACCAAATTTCAGACTGTTGTATCCATATATATAAGAACTGAAGTAGCCCACAAGAGGATATCAGTTGGGGTACAAATGAATGCTTTCAATTGATAATACATCTTTACATTTCAAGCTTCATACTGTCATCTTACACGACAGCTGTTACCGTGGTTACAAGTAACATGAGTATCTTTTGTACCGCATTGTGAAGTTATGATTGTAGGGCTTGAAAGAGAATATCGGAACATTTGCAAATATCTCTGATGTTACTGTAATATGTGAAAGTTTGTACTGATGAACATGTCTGTCAGAATGGAAAGTTCATGATTCAACCCACATTATTGATGCATTTAATAATGTTACATTGTTGTAAATAATGCACATACTTATTAAACATCTACCATTTCAAGGATTGTGTTTGTATGTACTGAAATGGGCATTTAGCGTGAGTTTTACAGCGCATGTAGAACACTCCATAAAGATCATGTGTGGGACACTAGAAATAAGCTTAACACATTGTTTTCATGTTGGGAATTGAACCTGGATGTTGCTGTGATGAGCGACTGCTTTAACTACTGGGCTAGTATGGATGAAGTTTCAGCATCAACTGTCACTGTGAGAATTGACAAAAGCTAAAAATAGCAATACACTACGAACAATGCTGCTTATGGCCAAATGATGGTACTGTAAGGAGCCTCGGCAAAAAAACAAGTTATATCACTGCATCAGTGCATGGCTTGGATATATTCCATTTTGTGTGTCTCACTTAGATACAACAAACTAGCTCCAAGTAAAAACACTTCTCTTAAAAATATTTGGTCATAATCGATTCCAGTGAGGACTGATAATAATTTGAATTCATGGTGGGATACAGTTCGATTCACTGCACTGCATACGTTTAGATTGGTCAGGTCTCGTTTGTCGTATTAATCAGCAATGTTCCAGGTGTAAGGTATCGGTGTGTTAATAATGGAGTCGGGACCAGACACCCATTGCCATGCTTGCCACAAAAGGCTACTATGCTTTGTAAGAGGCGACTAACGGGATCGGGTGGTCAGGCTCACTGACTTGGTTGACACATGCCATCGGTTCCCAGTTGCGCAGATCGATGCTCATGCTGATGATCACTGGATTGTCTGGTCCAGACTTGATTATTTGATTACTTGATTAGTTGAGCTGTTTGGGTACTTTTGGACTGGAATTGGAGCTATATAAATGTTTTCATGTTGATGATGATGATGATTATTTACAGACTGCTGCCATATAGCTGGAATATTGCTGAGTGCGGTGTAAAACTAAACTCACTCACTCACGCAGACACCCATTGAATTCATGAGCAACTATCTAAGGAACTGGGACACATGCATCACGCAAAGCTGAGGTCTAAAACACTTAGTCACTTCCAAAACACGTTCAGATTGCTGAAGACCAATTCTAACCCAGATCTTTATGAGGTGAGTTACCTTGCCAGGAATCAAGATCTGGATCCCTCAAGTGATAAGTCTCATCGAAAGGTAATGGTTTTGTTTTGAAGCCGGTTAGATACTGAAACTACCCGGAAGATTTGGACAATGTATTCCATTTATTGATTATCATGTCAATGAAAGAATTGTCTGGTCCAGACTTAATGATCTACAGACCACATTCATGTAGCTGGAATTGTGCTGAAAACAATGTTAAAGGTGAGGTGAGGTGAAATTGGGTTTTACATCGTGCTCGAGAATATTTCGCTCATATGACGACGTGCATGCGTGTGTATGTGCGGCTGCTTGTACTAGCCCAGACTTAAGCTGGTTTTATAGTGCTAGCCCACTGAGATACCATGCCGCAGTGAAGCATGAATACCCCACTCAGACACATTATACTGACTCCGAGCCGACCAGTCCTTGTTGTACCCATTAATGCCGAGCGCCAGGCAGGGACCAACAAGTACCATATTTTAACATTTTTTGGTATGACGCGGTCGGTCTCCGTGCGGATGCTCTAACCACTACACCACGGAGGCAGTCGAAAACAATGTTAAAGCAGATACAGAAACGAAAAGGTGAGTGAATGTTTGAAAGGTTTTATTGTATGATACCCGGGACATGGCATCTTGGTGCTCTCTAAGGCCATCTTTGTGGTATTGAAAGTATCACAGACAATAGGAAAATGAAAAACAGTTGAGATGGAGTAGAATGAATTTGACAATAGCACCAATGCTAGATTGACATTGTCACTCTCCAACAAAACCAAGTATACAAAGCTTCAACAATGACAGAATGTCCAGTTACAACATAGGTTTCAGATCTGTATTAGAAATATTGGTCAACACTGGCTTAACATTTCCCCAAATACCCACTGAAATAACAATACCATAATAATTATTATTATTACTCCGCACCAAGGGTCAAGGCAATGTTGGGTGCCATCAGGATTCTCTGTGATGGTGGTGGTGGTTTTAATCTTTTTAACAGCTAGGTATGTATAATGCCTGAATCTGTGACATGATTTTTCTCTAGACAAAATATATTAACTTGTTTACCCCTCAAATGGCAGTTGATATGATTGCAGTTGATAATTTTGTTTCATTTTTTAAATTTTTGTTTGCTCTCACCTGTACTTCAGCGAAAATTATTCTGAACAATACAATTTCACATGTATCTGGCCTGAAGACAACATAAAGTTGGACCCACTTTTGTGACTTATGATTTTTTTAAATTATCAGACTCAAGACCTTATCCTGTCGAAATTAGACACAAATCACTAAGATGAGGTTCTGAGATTGCTCAAGAACAAAAAAAATTATGTATTAATTTCTTGGCCAAATAAATATTGATCCCTTTAATTTAAAGTTTAAGCAATTTACGTCCAAAGCTGAAGAATTTTGTCTTAAATCTGAAAACTGAAGTGCCATTACCAATAATTCTTGATGCTGGTAAGAAAATATGTGAAAAACAAAATGGCCGCTTAACCTCCATCTTGTGTCAGCTTGAAAAGATATTCATGAATATGATACATTGCAAATTACTCTCATTCATTCACACATCAAATTCTATATAATCATAACACAACTTCAGCATGGCAAAACAGGAATAAATAGAACCAGAACACACTAAAAAATATGTGGAGAGGATAGGCAAAGTGAGAGCATATACACAAGTAATGGAGTATACTGAATGAGACAGTGTCAAGTTCTCCTATAAACGGAGAAAATACATGTACATGAGACACTCAGATCCATTGTAGGACTGGGATCTATTGAAGGTTCTTGGATATTGGGTATAGTTCATGTTTCTACAAGAGAGACATTACATACACCTTGCACTTTTAAAAGTAAAGAACGAAACCCTGCTATGACTTAACACTATTGAGGGTTCTTGGTTATGTTTACATTTTTACAAGAAAGAATTTACATATTTACCATGGAATCTTAAAGGTAAAGACAGAAATAAAGTGTCTGTTTCTTACAGACATTCGTCCAAAGAGTACATTTCTAATATTTTTCTTAAAAAGTCATAAATAAGAACCTGTTTTTAATTGTCATTAGAAGTTACTGAAAATTAGGCCAGACCAATTTTATTTCTTGTGTTACGGATTTATGTCCTCAGAAAACCTAAAGACAGGAGGGAAAAAAACCCAAGTCACCAGTCAAAGTAATATTCCTTTTAAATACTAGTGTATATGGGGCAAAAAACAATCTAAAAAACATTTCTTTTAAGTCTACATTTTTGGCCAATAAAAACATTAGAATTTTGATTTTGGAGCAGGGAAAATTAATTTTTCTTTTCTTTTCTTATTGTTGAAAACAAGAAATAAAATTGGTCTGGCCTTAAGAAAGAACTTCAACCCAAAGCATGTGTGACATTAATGTTATCATACAATTTTACCATGAATTTGCCAGTATGTCACTTATACAAATACACACCATTAATCCATTCCACAAAGATATATTGATGACAAAAAATAGGGGAATAAAAAACTTGGAAGCATACATTTGGAATGAAAATTTTCTATGTAGCCCCAGACAACTAGAGATTATTTACCAATGTAAGAAAATCAACACCACATATGGTGATATTTTTGTAGACATAAAGTTATTTACTGGACTCTACAGTAACCAGTACATCATTAGTCAACATCAGCAGGATAAGTAAATATATTGATCCCTATCAACTCACAATGAAAATATACACATTGTTTAGCTGTAGTGAAGATTCGGTTTTGAAATACTCTGTGAACAACTTGGTCCTATAACCCAACCAGAGGCACCGTATCTAATCCACGGATCCCAAATCAGAAAATACATATATTTTAATTTGCCATACTTTTCCATCTCTGGTAGATTGGGAAAGAAATTGACAGAAATATAAAAATCAAACACCAATTAAAGACAAACCTTATTAAGACATGATCTTCTTGTTGAATCTTAACATCCTCTACTTCAAACAGTTATGATTGTTGTTCAATTTCTCTAGCTAAACTGCCAACCAACTGACCAAACATCTTTATTCCACATTAACATGTACTACTCAACAGAATTGAAAAGAAACACCTGATTCTTTTCTGAACAGAATTCAAGAAAAGACTTTTCACAAGACTCTAGTCAGTCTGTCGTGGGTATTTGATCTCTTGAGCAGCATATACTGAGTAATAGAAAAATTACAAATTTATCAATAATTTACCTGATTTAAGCTATTTGGTTAACAAACATTTGTAAACCATCTTATCAAATGTGAAACCTTATGAGCTACCTAACACATGCACCTGTGCAAACAACTATTGAAAAGTGGTGCCTATTATTGATGCATTCATGCATAAAGTGCATGTAAAAAGACTTAAACATTTGTGTCTAACTAACCCTTTTTTCCACACAACAAAGATTGTTGAACACAATACCTCTAAGCTTTATTTACCAAACATCACCAATTGTGTTGTGTGTAGTTTGTCATGCAATGTTGGGCTTGAATCATCAAATTGTGTAAAATTCAAGATCATGTGCACCGGTTCTTATTACAACCATGGATAATTAATTTATGTAAAAGTCATGGCATAGTTATGAGAAATCTGAGGTATTTAATATTAGAGTAATTTATGTATCTCTAGTTCAACTTTGAAAATTCATAGGACCAAGGTGCAACCTGGTTTAGTCTGGTGCATGGTTTTCATATGAACTTGCACCATGTGCAAGCTATATTAAGTGCAAGTTAAACTGAGTTCTTCAAAGCTCTGGAGCTTGGTTAAACATCAGACTGATGTAAGTGAACGAAGTACGAACTGAATGGTATGAGAAACATTAACATGTCCTTCACTAGGGCTGGCTATAAAGATCGATAATTGGAAATATCGTCGATAGGAAAAAATAGTAAATATTATCAATATGAAAATTGTATTCTTGATAATATCATACATAAACATTTGGGGTAAAACAAAGATTTAATTTATTCATCAGAGCTACAGATAACTCTTTGGGTCATTGAGTTATGTACTCGCTTGTGTTCATCTCATTTGGGTATCCTAATTTTCATTTGAGTAACCAAATAAATTGTACTCACTTCACTCAAACTCAATTGGGTACTTTGCCATTTTCCATTAATTTTAAAAATATAATAAAGTTTAAATGTTAGTGTTTGTTATTTATATTTGATCTTTAATATGAGAAACTATAAGAAAGACTGCAAGATGTCACGTTCATGTCCAGAAATACAACCTCTCAGTATATCTAAGTTATTTTATCTATCCACTGGTACCCAAGCTAAGATTGACATTTTTGTGTGTACGCATGTAAGATCTCATTTATTGAGTATTTACAAAAATTCAAGCATACTTGTACACAACAGACTTAATAGGAATTGAGTTTTCACATAAATATTTGCATAATTTACGCAGATACGCAGCTTGTCTGTACCTCTGATTCATACAATACACAAAGTTAGGACTACATTCATGGGCTGCTTCTATCTTATGTCCAGGACAGTGTTTTGTTAGTAATTCATGCATAAACATATCACCACTCATGTGATGTGAAATATCGTCATCTGTTTCAGACATTTTGGCTCAAAGTTACTGCTCCGATATTTATCAATAATCGACTATCAATCTCTATGAGCTACATCGACAGCCAGTCCTATCCTTCACGGTGCCTGATACACCTTCCACATCCTATGTACAGATGCCAAAACGGTGTACTGGGTTCTGAACACACACTCATAGGGTAGACAATGCATGACATGATAGCTAAACTTATTAAGTCATAAAAGCTTAAGTACAGTATATTGCAACATTCTTCAAATAAACATGAGGTGTTGAGGCTCTCTAGATATGAATGTAAGTGAAACAATTCACCCATGTTAAACCTAACCATATGATACTGTATTTGTCATAATAAGCGACCGAGTTGATGAGAAAAAGTGACAAATGAGGCATTTATTTAGGAGATAAACAAACTGTGTTTGGAAATTAGAGGAAAATGTTAGACCGAATTGATAGTCTCTAAACTTAATTTGAAACCAAACACGTAGCGTGAGGTTTCAAATGGTTAATTTCACATAGTCATGGTGGAATATACCATGTACATGTTAAATATGTTTTCAGAGATAGAATGGTAGTCAATAAACTTAGCTCAAATATTGATCAAGCTAAAAATTTACTTTTGATGCAGTGTAATTATAGACGCCATCTATGAGGGGATCTCAAGGGGTATATGTTCGGATGTACCCTTTATGGAACACTACTGCTTGCTCCCTAAAATACCAGCTAGCATTTGATTGTAAGGTACGTTAATGAAAATACGTATATGTACCATTTCATACCATAAAAACTGTCGGTCATAATAGAGGTGCTTATAAGATTACGCCAAGAATTTTGTCAGGGTGCTTACTATGGCAAATACTTGCTTTCTTTTGCTACACTTTTTCTGAAATCAGATTTCATAATTTAATAAAAATTATAATTCAGACAAGATAATGAAAGATCAAGTTTGATATTCCATATCCATAGTTATTATAATGTATTAACAGAAAAATATAGCTTTACCTTTCCTAAATATTATTACAAAAGATGTTGTCCCTCTGTCTTGAAGCTATTGCAGTCAAATCATGAAACATGACGACATGTAATACTAATATACTGGGTGTATCTTGTCAACATGAGTAGATGTGAGGTGTGACAAAGTGCTGCCCTGACTAATATCTTTGTAAGGCATATTAATGTGCAGTAGCATTCTAGAAATCCTACTCCTCAACTGTGGGTCACGACTCAGTAAGACACCACGTTAATCTCGACAGCAATGTTGACAGTGTAATCTTCTGGATTAACAAATCTCTTCAAAAATCATTTCTTAAGGAACAAATGTACTCTGTATTTCTGTCAAAATGAGCCTGACGCGATATTTATTAAAAAGGCGGGAGAATGTCTTGTTTGCTAGTTGGAGTGTAGCTGAAATTCCTGCACTAAATATACCCATATATCACTTGCTTGATAAATGGTGTTAGTACCTACGCTGAAAAGTCACACTCATTGCAATAAAAAAGTTGACTGTCCATAGAATAGTTTTCCTTCATCTTTACAACTTCTAAAATGCCTCTCAAAGAAGATATTGGAATATAATAAAGCATATGATTCTGTCAATTACAACATGTTACACATTAAGACTTCTAATCTAATGTTTATTGAAATGCTCTGATAAAAGCAATATGGATGAAACACTGATGTGACTATAAATTTTAACTGACTCACTCTGATCGAAGCTGGGTATGTCAGTTAGTGTATTCACAAAATGGTAATAGAATAATTTGGTCCAACTGGTTGATTTCCTTGTAGATGTTTCATGGTTTATATACCCAGTGTCCTTACACTTCCCTGAATACATATCCACTGGAAGGGGAAGCATTGACTGGCCAGTGTGTCTGTTCTAGTCAAGAAATAAAACGAGACTGTTTATAACTGATGGTCATAGGGCTGGGACGGGTTCAAATATTGTTGGTTAAATAAATAATGTACACATATCGTAATTCTTGCATAAATATATCATCACTAATCGGTGATGTGAAATCTGCTGTTTGCATATTTGCTGAAAGTTAATTCTCTGATATTTATTGATCAGTAGGCATGAAACGGTACGCTCTTAACACGGTATGTATGTATTGCGATACAAGGCCTTCGTTTTGGTCCGTTTTCTGTTCAGTATATGAGAACTTACTTCCGGGAAAATAACGTCCGTCTAGCAATGAAATGCATAGATTTTGACAAAATATTCAATTTCTAGACATTTTAGAAAAGGTATAAAAAGGTTAATAAAATGATGGTACGAAAACCGAAACTAAAGAATTTTTGGATTACATTATGGCATACTGAACCGAAGACAAAATACCGCAGTTCTAATAATACTGCGGTATACCGTTTCACCCCAACTGATCGATATTCAGTTAATCATTATCATTCTCTATGACGTGTATCGATAGCCAGCCCTGTATCACAGCAAGGTGGAGAGCAGACGGTCACAGAGCTGTAGCTCATGCTGCAGGTGTTGTCAAGGGAGACACTTTGTGTGATGTAAGCTGACCTCTCATTGGTCTGAACAACCTGTGGCTCCCTCTCACCAGTCTGTCACTTGATTCATTGCTTGAAACTAGCAACAAAGCAGACGATGTATTCACAGGTGATATGGAACATAGCCTATACAAATCTTTGAAGTATTCATGATTGGGTGATTTGAGTAGAATATGAAGTTCCGGTGAACAGAAATATAAAAATATTACCTCACAAACCTTGCCTTAGCCTGTAAAAGTTTAGGATGGCAATCTGTGTACACCAACTCCTAAAAACTCCCCTAATAAATAACACGTCCCAGAAAATTCAAGTCTCATATGCTGTCACAAAAAAGAAATGATATACAATAACTCATCACTGACATACGTCAACCTATGTGCCCTGTTATGTATGAACCTGAGGTGGCGCCACCAGTCTAAGGTAACACTTCGTTCCTCATTCTTGCTTTCTGGAGGATCTGGGTGCGTTTCCGTCTCTCCATTGCCCGGTTGCTGACCGTCTGCTTGAGGGCAGGAAGGGTGACATTGTCTCGCTGAATGTAGGCTATGTCTGGCCTGGAACATCAAAACAAGAGGGATGAAACTGTAAGTTTTCTGTTGCATGCTTTTAACAATACTCTGATATACTTAAGTTGGCGAGTGGCAGTAATCCTATGTCACGACTATGTAATGTTTTTAAGTCATAACTATTTGGGTTATTAGAGCCTAGAGGTGGAAGTGCCCACTTATCACGTTCAAAGTTAGGGTTCAATAACCTATATGAGTACAATGTGTGAAGCCTATTTCTGATGTCCCCAGCTGTGATATTGCTGAAATATTGCTAAAACGGTGTAAAACCATACTCACTCACTCACTCATCACTATGATGAGTGAGTGAGTTTATTCTACGCAATATTTTATGCACTCAGCAATATTCCAGCTATATGGCGACAGTCTGTAAATAATCGAGTCTGGACCAGACAATCCAGCGATCAACAACATGAGCATAAATCTATGCAACTGGGATACATTGACATGAGTCAACCAAGTCAGTGAACCTGACCATCCGATCCAATACATGTTCCAAGAGGGTGTTCATGATTTCAGATTTTATAAGTTTACATCACATCATATTGATCAGGCTGGAAAAATAAATATTCTAGAAATTGTAAACATGTATTATCAAACTTCTTGGAGCTATTATAAGTGTTTACATATCGCTTCACTAGTGAGTGAGTGAGTGAGTGAGTGAGTGAGTGAGTGATTGAGAGTGAGAGTGAGTGGAGTGAGTGAGTGAGTGAGTGAGTGAGTGAGTGAGTGAGTGAGTGAGTGAGTTTTACACTTCTTTGAGCAATATTCCAGCAATATTACTACATGGTACACCAGACACCATGGGCTTCACACTGTCTACCCATGTGGGGAATCGAACTCAGGTCTTTGGCATGATGGGCGAACGCATATACCACAGGGCTACCCCCCCCCCCTCACTTCACTAAGGCAATGAGAACAGTTACAGTAAAACAAAACAGCCATTTAAGAATTCACATATGTATCTCATAAACATTGTCCCTGACTAAATTCAACTTACAGTTTTCTAGTTGGGTGTTTGAAGGGTATCCTAGGTAGTGCTGACTTGCTGTGTGAGTCATGTCCACTTCCATCTTTCATGTCATCCTCGGCGATGTAGGCTTTGGCGAGAAGGTAGGCATCGGGTGTCCACTTGTGTGAATACAGGACATCACGGAGATCAGACTTCAAACTCTCCAGCTGGAAAACACAAACGATAAAATAACTGTAGCCTTGCTCTCGGAATTATAGCTAGTACTGCTTGAACAAGAAAACAAGTTTATTTTGTTTTACTTTTATGTCAGTTTTATTCACTTCCAATCAGTTTCCACTAATTGGGGCATCAAAAGTCATTGAGGATTATGATCCTTACTATATAAGAGTTCAGTGAGGATTGTTGTCATTGGGCTTTTACCTTAGGCCAGCAGACTAGATTTGTTTGTTTGTTGTTTTAATACTGCAATATTCAAGCTATATGGCGGCGATCTGTTGATAATCGATGTTCGACCAGACAATCCAGTGATCAACAGCATTAACATTGGATGTCAATCTCAACGGCACATCGTATTATCAATCTCAACTCCCTGGGGAGTATACACCTCTTGCAGCCACTAGGCGCACCGAGTTATTGTGGCTTTCAACTCATCCTAACGAAGTACCCCTCCACAGCTGGGTGGACTGGGACACATAGTCACAGTATTTTATCCAAGTTCACTGCACATTGCTGTACCCACACCTAGGTGATCGCACATATTCATGTGGCCACCATCTGGTCATATACCAACGGATTCGTGGGTTCTTTTAAGTGCACAGGGTTGTGTACTGTACACTAGGGGTTGTGACAACACTGAAAGAGTCTGCACACAAAGTTGACTCCAAGGCCTTTTACACCCAGTCACAGGTGGGTTCGATCCTGACACCTCAACCTCGCTGGATCACAAGCCTGGCGCCTTAGCCAGCTCGCCCACCGCACATCACAATCAGTCAAGTGAATCGGATAATTGACTGAGAAGAGCACTAAATACTATTTATATTCTCTGTATTTGAAGTGATTGACCTTGATTACAGGGAGGTAATAAGACTGAAGGTAAACATGCCTCATGTGCTTGTTGTTCATTCTGCTGCTGTAGGTGACGAATGACACCATGACTCTCTGCCAAGGTCAGAGGTCGTGACCCCTTCTGTAAGAGGTTGATGGAGGGGGGACTGGGTTCCCCAAGCTGGCTGCTGGGCCCGACCTCCCCACCCTGGTTTATCTGGGTCTTCATGTTCTCCACAGCAGCTTGTCTGAAACAGAGAGTATGGAGTTTGACCTTGACCTTGACCTACAAATCTTGAGGTCCAGGGGACCCAGTTATTTTTAATTTATTTCAGGGTCCTTACAGGAAATATGAGGGTCCTGTAAATGATTGAATTATGGATTTAATAATTACTTGTAATTACAGAATCTTTTTACTGCACGTCAAGAAGTTAGTAAGACATTAATTGTTGTGCAAAATCATCTTCCTGGTCTATTTTGTGTCCATTCCATATATTTGTGCAAACTGCAAAATTCTGTCTAAATGTCTGGTTCATCTGTTTAATCACAGAGTCCAGGCCACAGCGATGGACTAGGAATTCAAGTTATGTGTGTTTCACATTTAACTGTATTCCACTCATGATAGTGGAAGTCTACAACAAAAACAAGAATATGAATCTATCCCCTTGCTTTCCAGCAAGATTTCAAGTCTGAGTGTTGAGCAGAACATTTTAAAGAATGGATATATAACCATGCTTAACATCATATCAGTGGAATTTAACACATTTCATGACTTATATTTTTTTTTAACTGGGATACAATCTTCATGTCCCTTCACTTGGAAACTCATCAGCTTGGCACAGAGTCTATCTGTACATTGACTTACTGCCTCTTGCGCTGCTCCTCGGATTGTTCCAGTAACTGGGTGAGATACGTGTTCCGGTTCCGCGTCTCACGCAGCGCATGCTTCAGCTCCTTGATCTCCTCCTCCAGGAACACAACCTTGATCTCATCCAGCTTCTCCTCTGTAACACAAGGTAACAGTGTCAGGGCAATGTAACACAAGGTAACAGTGTCAGGGCAATGTAACACAAGGTAACAGTGTCAGGGCAATGTAACACAAGGTAACAGTGTCAGGGCAATGTAACACAAGGTAACAGTGTCAGGGCAATGTAACACAAGGTAACAGTGTCAGGGCAATGTAACACAAGGTAACAGTGTCAGGGCAATGTAACACAACCTTGATCTCAAACAGTGTCGTCCAATGTAACACAAGGTAACAGTGTCGGGGCAATGTAACACAAGGTAACAGTGTCAGGGCAATGTAACACAAGGTAACAGTGTCAGGGCAATGTAACACAAGGTAACAGTGTCAGGGCAATGTAACACAAGGTAACAGTGTCAGGGCAATGTAACACAAGGTAACAGTGTCAGGGCAATGTAACACAAGGTAACAGTGTCAGGGCAATGTAACACAAGGTAACAGTGTCAGGGCAATGTAACACAACCTTGATCTCATCCACAGTGTCAGGGCAATGTAACACAAGGTAACAGTGTCAGGGCAATGTAACACAAGGTAACAAGGTGTCAGGGCAATGTAACACACAAGGTAACAATGTCAGGGCAATGTAACACAAGGTAACAATGTCAGGGCAATGTAACACAAGGTAACAGTGTCAGGGCAATGTAACACAAGGTAACAGTGTCAGGGCAATGTAACACAAGGTAACAGTGTCAGGGCAATGTAACACAAGGTAACAGTGTCAGGGCAATGTAACAAGGTAACAGTGTCAGGGCAATGTAACACAAGGTAACAGTGTCAGGGCAATGTAACACAAGGTAACAGTGTCAGGGCAATGTAACACAAGGTAACAGTGTCAGGGCAATGTAACACAAGGTAACAGTGTCAGGGCAAACACAAACGCTAAAGCAGGGGTGGAAATAACCCATTGCCCGACGCCCGAGTCCAGTGTGTTTTTTCTGTCGGGCAAGCAAATTTGTATATCACACTGTACCGGTGTCCAGTTGACTTTCCAATATTAATTATGTTGTTTATTTTAAAAATCAACAAGAAAACGGACGGTATAGTGGAGAAATTATCAGGGCAAGTAATTTTACATGTGCCACTGTACCGGAGTACACTAGCAATTTTAAAGTTATTTCCACCCTGTAAAGATGAAAGAGGAATGTACCCCAATGTGAGGGCAATGTTACGCCAGGGCTTGCAGTATCTGATTAATGTGACACAATGATGGTGGTCTGTAAACAAGCAAGTCTGGGCCAGACAATCCAATGATTGATATAATGAGCATCGTGCTTGGAAATGAGAAATGATGTCATGTACTAGCCAAGTCAGAAAGCGTGTTATTCGCCTCTTACGACAAGCATTTCTAACCCCGATCTTCGCTGTGAGGTGGGTCAAGAGATGAAAATTGTAAGGCTCCATAATACACTGCCTCCATTAATAAGCTGCCCAGCTGTGATATGACTGAACACAGTTTGAAGCAGCATTCATCAAATCTCAACCCAAAGTCATAATCTGCTGAAACTGGGAGTTAAACCCCCTGAATAACACAGCCTTGAAGTCAAGGGGGCAACTCTGCACAGACTGAGAAAATACACAACAAGGGAATAAATGTCACTGATAACCATGGTAACCAATTTGTGCGAAACACAAAAGCCTCCAAAAACAACTAAATCATCTTATCAATAAAAAGAGATGAAATTATAACTGAAGGTGACACTTTCTATATTCTTCAAGATTATAGTAGAATAGCAAGTTCTCCAGGAGTATACACATCTTTGAAATATTAATCAAGAGCAGGTAATATATCATTTTAAACAGACCCCATAGATTGACATATTGCACCTACCCCTCGATCTGACCGATTCCTCTTCCATCTTCGACTGAAGAGAATCGGAGGAAGAATCTGAGAGAAACAAATGTAGGTTACACTCACAGACTATCAAAAGCCCTGATGAACATGAATGATCCCCATAAAACATATTTTTATGACTTGCTTCATGGCCTCCCAACCCCAAATGACGAGTAAGTAAAACTTTAACATTGCATTAGCTTTATTTCAGCCAAACAGTTACAGCAGTTATGTGAGAGAGTGAGTTTAGTTTTACGCCACACTCAGCAATATTCCAGCTATATGGCGGCGGTCTGTAAACAATCGAGTCTGGACCAGACAATCCAGTGATCGACAGCATGATCATCGATCTACGTATAAGTGGGATCCAAGTCAGCGAACCTGAACACCCGATCCTGTTCGTCGTCTTACGACAAGCATGGGTTACTGAAGATCAGTTCAAACCCGGGTAGCAGAGGTCACACTGGTATGCAGCGCTGACTATCAACGATTACAAGGATTGATTATCGTTCACATAACATCTATTATCAATAAATGTCGGTGAAATAACTTCGAGGAAAAAGGTCATGAAGAAAATTTCATGCCACTGGTGAGGGTGCCACATCATCAGTATGCATGAATACAAACAAAAACAGCATTCTGAGCATAATTTAGGACCTTCCCATAACGCAAGACATAGCTTTGTGTGATGTATGTGTAAATGTTGTGGGGGTGGTCCTGTGCATAGAGCCCAGGTCACAAATCAGTTGATGTTAAGCATCATTGGGCGCTGAGAGTCCTTGGATGGGTGATCATGTTTGGCAGCTTGACACAGGAGAGTTTCTAGGACTTCAGTGCTGCCTCACAACGAAGCACATGTGATACATGTGGTCTCACCATAGGCAAATGAGTTTGTTCAAAATTGTCTCTGTTCACCCAGCAGAAAATGGGTACCAAGTGGGATAAGTCAGGTGACTATACCCTTCTAGTGCCTCACATTTCGCCAGTAAGTATAATGTACAATCATCATTAAGAAACGTACCAAAGCATACAACTTTATGGATAACAACTTCTTGTTTATTGCATAGAGTCATGTTATGGTGTAGATTCTTACACCATTATCAAGTTAAAAGGGTTATCCATAAGGTCTTATGCTTCATTATTGTTTCACCAACTTCTAAAATGCTGATCAAACAATTAAGAAACATACCTTTGTCTAGATTATTTTCTTCTTTTGATTCCATCTTCTTTTCACTTCTTGAAGGCCTGCTCTGCTTCTGGCTCATTATTATGCGGAACTGGAGATCTGAAAGTTAGAGGTACAATGATACACTGGTTTTACGATACTATAGGTATCCTGATACATTGGGTGAGATATGATTCGTGTGCTGATATTAAAACTACTTTTTTGTTTCAGAACTTTGCTGCAGGTGAATCATAACCCTGAATTATTTGTTTTCAGAACTGCCAGATTGAAAAAAGGATATTGTTATGCCGAAAAATACAGGCTAGAGGGCGCTGTGAATGTTATGCTATTCATAGACAGCTGGGAAATACCAAGACATTATAGAGTAAGGTACAGTCCGTTTGATTTCATTTGAGACAGATGAATTGCTCACAAACACAAAATCTAATAATTGCAACAAAACCAAATTTTGCCCAGTCACATGAAATTGACAGATCAACTCTGATGACTTGTTTCATAATTTGGACACCTGAAAAAAAAAGTTGTTAAACAAACGATCATTATTTTGTTGTCACTTTTTGCTATTTTTCACGAGGGGGGACAACTTGCTGGTGGAACAGACATACAGTTAAAAAGATAAGGGTATATCCTCAGTCTACCCGTTCATATTACACATAGATGGAATGGTGCTGAGTGCGGTGTAAAACTACACTCACTCACTCACTATCACACACAGAGATTACGATAGATACCGTTTGTCTTACAAGTTGTTTCAAAATGTACCTAAAGAGAAAGCATTTTGAAACCAGTTAGCAGGTCGAACCGAACCACGCCAGCTAAAAAGGGCTGCAAAGGAGGGTGCTGCCCCAGAAGAGCACCATCAACAGGGGTGTGGAAAGTGGAAATAGCGGTGGAGTAGCCACGAATGGTCGAAGCCGCCAAGCCTTCTTCCAAACGAGCTTGCAAAATCTCCAATACTCTGACCAAATCCGCAGAAAAGGGATCTGCAATCCCCCAATCTGAACACCAGCGTGCACAGCGGGACCACCTATCCTCATATTGAACGTTTGTCGAATCCCGCCTCAAAGCCAGAATTGTGTCTGCAACTGCTGCAGGAATTCCACGTGCTTCGAAGCTAGACCTGACAGAGGCCAAGCCACCCACTGAATCCTTGGATTGGGGTATGGCGCGCCGTTCTGAGTGATAATGTCCGGTCGCAAAGGTAATAGAACAGGAGGCTGAGCCAGAAACCTGAGAATTACCTGAAACCAGCTCTGTGACGGCCATAGCGGTGCCAGTAGCACAAGAAGCCGAGGCGGCTGGGAGAGGACCCGGGGAATGAGGCGGAAACGCCCACAGCACCTTGCCCGTCCAATCCAACAGGAAGGCGTCGGAAGCCAACGCCCTCTGGTCCGGTATTCGAGAGCAGAACACGGGTATCTGATTCGTCCCGCTGGACGCAAACAGATCAATCTGGAACGATCCGTGCCGGTCCAGCATCAACTCGTGCGGGGCCATGATACGGCGAGAGAGAGCGTCTGCTCGCATGTTCTCCAGCCCCGGGAGATAAACAGGAAGCACCTGACAGTCGCACTGGCCGCACCAGAGGAGAAATTCCAACGTCTCCCGAAGGAGCGCTAGGGACACCGTGCCGCCTTGCTTCAGGATGTACGTCATGGCCGTACGGTTGTCCAACTGAAGACGAACCATCTGGCCCTGAACATGCTCCCGAAAGTGCTCGAAAACCAACCGCACAGCTCTCAGTTCTAAGACGTTGATGTGAAGGCGGGCTTCGGCTTCGGATCAGAGTCCGGACACCGACAGACTGCCCAGAACACCCCCTAGCCTGTCAGGGACGCATCTGTTTGAACTGTAAGAGCTGGCGTCGGGATTTCCAAAGGGACCCCCTTGGAGAGATTCCCGACATTGGTCCACCACTGAAGGTGAGGAGGACTGTGAGACATTTCTCCAGATCCTCCGAGTGAGCCCACAGACTCGCTAAAGCTTGCTGTATAGGGCGCCCGCCACACTACAGAGATTGTTGCCGCCATATGACCCAGTAGATGGAGCCAAGTCCGCGCTGGTGCCTGGGGCTGGGAGAGGAACAAAGACACCATCTCCCGTACTCTGGTGACCCGGTCGGGCGACTAAGAGACAAGACCCTTGTGAGTTGTGAACCGCGCCCCGAGAAAAACCAAGTCCTGGGTGGGTACCAGTTCGGATTTCTTGAGGTTTATGATCCACCCCAGCCGAACTAGAATGTCTATCACCGTGTGGGTAGAATCTAGGCTCGCTGGCTGAGTTACAGCGCTGAGCAACCAGTCGTCTAGGTAAGGGTAACAACGCCTTCCTTGTGACCTTGTGAGGGTAGCCAGCACTAACATGACCTTGGTGAACACCCTGGGGGCAGTGGATAAGGGGAGCTCTGTCAATTGGTAATACATCCCGTCGTAAGAGAACCGGAGGTACTGCTTGAACGATGGATGAATTGGCACATGTAGATACGCATCCTTAAGGTTGATCGACGTAAGCCAATCGCCGGGCTGTACAGAGGAGGTCACCAAGCAAAGTGTCTCCATCTTGAAGGATGGAACCTCTTGCATGCAATTCAACCCCTTGAGGTTGAGAATGGGACGGAACCTACCGTCTTTCTTCGGAAGGAGGAAGTACGTGGAATAAAACCCCGCCTGTTCCCCGCCCGGTGGTATGCACTCTATTGCAGACTTGTTCAGCAAAGCCTGAACTTCGTCTCACAGTATACCCGCCTACCGGACATGATGGCACCGGAGTGCGACGTATGGGGGGCCTCGCTTCCACAGTGGTAGATGGCCGCCACTGACGGTGGATAGAACCAAGTGTTGCTGGTAGCCTTCTCCCACTCCGGCAGGAATAGAGAGAAGTGGCCCCCCACTGGGACGTGTGGTAAGAGGGCGTGAGTGGTCCCCTGCAGATGAACTGACTGGGACGGACCCACGGCGACAGCCTGCAGGTTTAACGGGAGATCGGGGCAGACCCCCCGCAACTGCGAAAAGGCTGCTGGGAGCCAGACGAAGAGGCCTGCTCCTTGCCCTTACCTTTGGCGGGACGGCTCCTCTTCCTACCTCTACCCAGTGGCCAAAGCCAGCCGGCAGACTCGGGTGTAGGCTGCGCCCCGGATGAAGAATCCGCTATGGGAGCGCGAAACCCGCTGTTGCTCCAACAAGGCCTTAGAATAGAGCAAGGCCAGAACCCGAGTCCCTGCCTGGCGCTCGGCATTACTGGGTACAACAAGGACTGGTCGGCTCGGAGTCAGTATAATGTGTCTGAGTGGGGTATTCATGCTTCACTGCGGCATGGTATCTCAGTGGGCTAGCACTATAAAACCAGCTTAAGTTTGGGCTAGTACAAGCAGCCGCACAAACACATACACACACATGCACGTCGTCATATGAGCGAAATATTCTCCAGCACGACGTTAAACCCAATTTCACCTCACCTCACTCATATCAGCTATCAAGTGGCATTTACATATGTTCATATGTCAATGAATACTTGGGAATAAAAAATGCATGAAACATTTGATACATTCTGTTTCATGTAACACAGCAGTTTTATACAGGATTACACATTCTTCATACATTCATAATTCAACACAATACTTGAAGTATGAAAAGCTGAAGACTAACACATTTTGTTTCTTTCCGTATTTGTTGTTTGATGGGGAAACCAGCAATATTCCAGCTATATGGTGGTGGTCTGTAAATACTCAAGCCTGGACCAGACAATCCAGTGATTGACATCATAAGCATCGATCTATGCAATTGGGATACGATGACATGTGTCAACCAAGTCAGCAGGCCTGACCAGCTTATCACGTTAGTCACCTGTTATGACAATCGGGGCCGTGGGGTAGTTTAGTGGTTAAGTCACCGGGTTCAATTACATGGGTACAATGACAAAGCCCAGTGATGTTGCTGGGCGTAAAACCAAACTCAGTCAGTCAGTGTTATGACAATCAAGGGTTGCTGGAGACCAATTCTATCCTGGATCTTCAGGTTTCTAGCACTTGAAATGAGTGGGAGGTGAATAGGGGTGAGTGGGAGGTGAATAGGGGTGAGTCAAGGTTGGGGAGATCGTAACGGGAGACTTTCCATAATTGCTTAAATTATGACACTTAGACAGTTTACACTATGGCTAATTTTCTCTGTTTGTGACATGAAGACAAGATGAAGCCCAGAGGCTAACTGTAATAGTCAGTTAGCATGCTGTCTATGACAACAACAAATGACTTCCCTCGCTGTTCAAACATATCCCATTACACCAGTGATACGCTTGTCACTCCTCCATACATAAACTCTCTGCATACACATTAAGATCCGATTACTGCATTCACCTCAATATATGTACTGAGTGCTTCGAAAATTGACAAAGGGTCACATATTAAAATCAAAAAAATTCACAATAAGCTGAAATTGCTTTTGTAGATCAAACAGAAGATATAGTAGGGATATTTTTGTCGGGGGTGTATATTACAGGTAATATCGTACTCCCTATATGAACTGAAAAGCTCCTCAATAAAGATGAGCGTACCTCCTCAGGCTCTGTTTCCACAGAGGCATTAAAGCTATATTTTACATTGTTGTATGTAAACACAAAGTAAAAATACCTCTTGAATTATAAAACCACAAGTATTAAACATTTTTTAATCCCTATTTTGTACGAAGTAGCAATCTTTGTTCAAAATGTGCTGGTAAAGTGCTGTTATTAATCCTAGATAAATCTCTGCAATGATCATAAATTATAAGAAACTTGATTTCACTGAAAAATAAACAACTGGCTATATTGGACAGCAGGGTAATGTCTCATACGAGTTGTTATTAGTGATCATGAATTATTAATAACTTGAACACAGCTCCTGACAGTCTGACCTCATTGAACGGAACACTATCTGCATACATTAATATAGGTACATAGACTGGAAGATCACACAATAGCTCTCTCAGGGGACCAGTGTATAAGTGAATTATTAATGCTTGGCAGATGCTGAATGGGATTGTCAGATATACCCCGCAACGCTTGGATAACATTTGCTGTTAATATGAGAATCAAGAGAGATTGCTTTTAACTGTACATTTGATGTTTAAGAGGACCTCGGTTTAAGTTGATTTTCAATATGGCTTCTGGTAGGCATGTTTGATTTGGGATCAAAATGTTTTTATGATTCAATAAGTTGAGGTGATTGCAAAAGTGAAATAGCAAAAATCAATTAGAGATAAAAGTGTGACATTTTCACATTGATTTATTAATGTACTGACTAGTGATAAAATTAATTATTCTAAATGTGTGTTGATTGAAATTACCTGTGTACGCCTGTAATTAATCAATTTAATGCTAATTAGTTACTAAGGCAGATCCATTAAATGTTTCAAAATTAATTTTCCGTCTTTTCAGTCAATTATTGTTTATTGTTGAATCCTAATAAATGCAATAATTTCTGTGAATCATTAATTTAGAAGTCATAGATTTTACCAAAACAGTATCAACATTAAGTATTGCCATAAACAATGATGTCCAAGATGAAATGGGGCTGTGGGGTAGCCAAGTGGTTAAAGTATTCGCTGACTTTGTATCCCTATTGTGTAGATCGATGCTGATGATGTTGATCACTAGACTGACTGGTCCAGACTTCAATAAATTACAGACAGCTGTATAATAAATACAATTGCTAGAAGTGAGGCGTTTAACAAACAAATGTTGGGATTGTGAGTTAAAACCATTGTTCATAATATCAACCACTTGATTGAGTGAGTGAGTGAGAGTGAGTTTAGTTTTACGCCGCACTCAGCAATATTCCAGCTATATGGCGGTGGCGGTCTGTAAATAATCGAGTCTGGACAAGCAATCCAGTGATCAACAGCATGAGCATCGATCTGCGCAATTGGGAACCGATGACATGTGTCAACCAAGTCAGCGAGCCTGACCACCCGATCCCGTTAGTCGCCTTTTACGACAAGCATAGTCGCCTTTTATGACAAGAATGGGTTGCTGAAGACCTATTCTACCCCAGATCTTCACGGTCACGTGATTGTCTTGTCCAGACACAATCACTTACAGACCACCATCATATAGAAGGAATTTGTCAGAGTGTGGTGCTCAACAATAAACATATATATACCACTCACACTTTGCTAAGGATCACAAAAATTCACAACTTTACTTAAACGTAGATTCATAATTTGAAATTGTATCCATTTAAAACTGGATAAATAATAATATGGTAACCCCTCTTTAGGCAAACAGTCACTTTAATTTAACCTAATGCACTTGAGACATGAGTAGCCATAAAATGGTTTTCATGGTACCAATCAACCATTTTGCAAATCATGGAACGAGTCACTGACAAGTACACAACACCTGTCAATAGCAGGTATGGGATCCACAAGATGAAATGACATACTGAAACCTAGGATCCATGCTTACAATAAAGTTAGATATTTTATATCAAATTTGACCCCACATCATAGTTTTCTGTTGAATCCATGATTTGATCCTTAGCAAAGTGTGAATAGTATATATAAAATCAAGATAATAATTGGTAACATTTGTTCCTGATTTGTTTTAACATATGCACAGAAATAAACCTATAAATATCAGATCAGATATTGATGAAATTGATTGTGCTGAATTCAAAAAGGATCAATTTTCAGTTAATCAGTACATGTTAACAATAGAAAATGCATGTAGAGAAGAAAATTGCTCTTCTAGCCTTAAAGTTGAATCCAAGTCACAATAAAAACTAGTAACCACAAACCAATAAATGTTTACGAAAGTTCTAACTTGGAAAAATAAGTTGTATTGCTGACAAGTAAACATGGTAAGTCCCTGATGATCGACAGAAATGTTCAATCAATGTCGACATAAGAATCTCGATGAATAAAATATCTGAAACTTTTACGATCTTGAAGTCAGACATCAATTTTGAGCTTTGCACTATTGACCAAAAGCATCCCAACATCAATGGTGGCAAATTACACATTGTGCCCATGTGGGGACATCAATTTTGAGCCTTGTGATCTTGGAAAAAATGCATGTGCACTTATGCAATAGGGGTGAAACGATACATCAGACCGTGTATCAGAGTTGTCATGTGGCTAAACAATACACAACGTTTCAGCAGCTTCCAGTCCACTAATGTCACACTGCATTGTCCTGGAATGTGGAGGCTGAGTGGGTAAGATTGCTGACTTTGTGTGCAAGTGATTAGGTGCCTGATTCTGAGAGTGTGGGCTCAAATCCCCAATGGGACTCAACCCAACAAAAGTACTAGAATCTGTACTTTACTGAGAAAGTGTAACCCCAAATATAACATGTCACATTTGATCACTTTCTAAATTAGCATTGTGTATTCTGGGCTCCAGATAACTTTGTGGGGGGTATGGGTGTACTGAGACTTCATTTTGAAAGTGGAGGTGTACTGAGAATTTTGAAGGAGTACTGAGTACTACTGATTGATAAATTCCTCCACTAATTTCATCGACCTAAAATCGTGTCTGATCCCGATTAATGTAGACCAGGCTTTTTTCCAAAGAAACTTGTTATTTGTGAGCAAGTTCAGTGACGTTTAGAGTCTCCACGAAGTTTCACACAATCTATAGATTTCTGTTGTGATGTGGTTTTGTTAGTTATAATATTAAACAACTTTTCAGCTATTAAACTTTAGTTCATATATGGCGAAGAAATAAAGAGAAATTAATTTTGGTTTGTTGTATATTTCACAAAGTGCTCACTTACAAGATTACATAATCACTCAGAGTCTATACTGTAAAAACTAGTGTGAAGTTAAGAATAAAGACAGTTATACTATAAGGATGAATATTTAATTCTAATGTGGGAACTAACAGATATTTGCTGCAGACTTGGTGCTATAGGTCACCCTCTGTGGATGTCTAAATAAACTGTTCCACTGTTTCAATACAAGTTACATGGATGAGAAACATTAGTGAGTATTGAGCTTCCCAAACTGTACCCAAGTGGACTGACTGACTGAGTTTGGTTTTACACCGCTTTTAGCAATATTCCAGCAATATCACGGCTGGGGTCACCAGAAATGGGCTTCACTCATTGTACCCAAGTGGAATAAAAACAACGGCTTCAGTGTAGTCTGATGGTTTATAAATAAGAAATGGATGATCATGTTTATGTCAGACTGCGTCGCACTGGTAGGCTTGCTACACCACTGAAATAATAACAAGTTTACTTTTTAATCGGAATTGGTATCTCTTTGCAGATCACACAACCAGTACATCTGTAACCTGGCAACAGAAGGACCAGGATGTAGACTGTGTTGGTAATGTGCTATTCCTTCATTCAGGGCAATTACACAGACCAAAAGTTTTGACCTCTGTTTCTGCAGAATCTATAATGTGGTCTTATTACTGTTGAAATGCAGCTCACCTCTACAAAACCGCAACATTAGTGGAATTTTATGAGTTGGAATTTCTTAACACCAATTCGGGAATTTTTAATGTCATTTGTTGCAGAATATCAACCTTCACTGCAGATCTAGAAAAATCCATGTTTTACCCAACCCTCAAGTCTGCAACTGGGTCACTTCGGTTCAGAAGTCCAAAACACCATTGCATCACCACCATGTCAGTGGTCAGTAAGGATACATTTTGCGATTTAAGCTTTCACCCAGGATAAATTTCTTGGACTTATTTCTGTAGTACCCCCAGTCTGTTTCACCGTGAGACACTAAACCAAAATGTACCAAGCAGTGTGAAATCAACATGAGACACCAGGTCGTACGGAGCTGGTCGCATCATAGAACATCTCTCTATCCTTGAACCGCATTATTTTCACTTTCTCCCTCCCCTTTATGCAATACCAAAAGCCTTAATGAAGCAATTCTTGATTTCCTCAGGTTCCTGTCCAGTTTAAAAGACATTGTTTGTTTCTATCAAAATTTGTATTTTCAAAACCTAAGTGTGAGTTATAGTATCCCATATGATAACATCTCTTCAGGGGTGGAAATAACCCATTGCCCGACGCCCGAGTCCAGTGTTTTTTTCTGTCGGGCAAGCAAATTTGGATATCACACTGTACCGGTGTCCAGTTGACTTTCCAATGTTAATTATGTTCTTTATGTAAAAAATCAACAAGAAAACAGCTGGTATAGTGGAAAAATTATCAGGGCAAGTGATTTTACATGTGCTACTGTCCACCGGAGTACACTAGCAATTTTAAAGTTATTTCCACCCCTGCTCTTCAGCACTCATCAGAGACTTGGAGAATAGCAAGTTTCAAAGAATTATGAATACTCTGTTCCAAATGAATTAATTCAGTAGCCCACAGGCAAACTATTAAAATAGCATGTGATGGTGGGGATCATTCATACCGCATCTTATACATACCTTTATTTTCCCTCTTTAAGGCATCGATTTCTTCATGTAAGCTCCTTAGCACCTCTTGATGTTGCCGTTTGAGAAAAACCAAACTCCTCTCCAGATACTGTGCCCGTTGTGCCGGGTTAAGCTGTTCGTTCATCTCCAGACTCCCGTCTTCCTCGTCACCTTCACGTTTCATTTCCATGCTTGGTTGTATTTTGTCTTTAACAAACGGTTTTGGGTATCTTCGCTTTATCCAGCGTGTTGACTCTGGACCACTGGGGGTAATTGTTCATAAGATGGGGGTAGTGGGTCATGGCAAGGTCGTTGACCTTCTCCTGCACAAACCCCTGCTTCAGCATCCTGGCTTTTAGGAAGTAATTCTTGGAAATACAGGGTTCTTTATATCACCTCATCTGAAAAACAGAAATAAAGATAAAAAATATCCTGGGTTGAGTGAGTGAGTGAGTTTGGTTTTTATGCCGCTTTTAGCAATATTCCAGCAATATCACGGTGGGGCACACCAGAAATGGGCTTCACACATTGTACCCATGTGGGGAATCGAATATGGTGACAAGTGAACGCTTTAACCACTGGGCTACCCCAGCGCCCCTCCTGGGTTGAAGGAAGTATTGCTTGGAAATACAGGATCCTTCATATCACCTCATCTGAAAAACTGGGGTAAAAAGGATAAAAATATTCTGGGTTCTTTATATTATCTCATAAGAAAAATTGAAAAAAGGATAAAAATACTTGCATGGGGCATGTGCACTTGCACTTAAGCAAAATGTATTTCTCTTCCATAAATATTCAACTCCAGGGGGCGGAGGGGTAACCTAGTGGTTAAAGCGTTCACTCAACATGCTGAAGACCCGGGTTCGATTCCCCAATACAATGCATGAAGCCAATTTCTGGTGTCCCCAGCCGTGATATTGCTAGAATATTGCTAAAAGCGGTGTAAACCTAAACTCACTCAACTCCAGGCAAAGAAATATTTTCATCTTTTCACACTTAAAGATGTTAAGTTGTCCCTTAAATTTGAATTTTAAGTTTACCAAATAGAATGATAATTTAGATTCATCATCAAACTAGGTGAATGTCATTTCACCAGGACTAGATAATACACTGTTATTATTGTGAATTTAGTCATTGGTCATACAGATTGGTCATACATGTTTTCGTTCCTGAACACCCACAGTTATTTCAAGACACATATTGTGCATTACTTCTATTCACATGTTCAACATTTTCCAAATGAAATTCTTCAAAGGCACTTAGAAGTTGGTGTAGTAATGCAAGACAAATCTTATGGATAACAACTTCTTTATTTGTTTGTCCACAACGTTTCTGAGCTAGTTCTTGCCCCTTCTTCAGGTGGTATAAGATTTGCCTTGTATTATCCAAATGTTTTTGTGTTTATTTATGATCTCATAATATAAACATTGTCAGGGTTTACATATTGTTTTAAATATTATATCCTGCCATCCACAATTTGGTGTCACTTATGTTGTCACAAACTTCTCCTGTCAGTACATTATATAGACTTCTATGATAATGCAAGATTTTATAATAACTATATGGAGAATGTCTTCTGCCTTGCACAAGTTCTATAAACACCCTATAATAAATAATAGCATGCTATCATGAAACAAACTTGTAAAATTAGTTTACCTACCTATAAGGGCCTTTACTACATTGCAAATGTTGAAATATGACTACAGATTAATCATGTAAATATTTAGTGATATACACCTCTTCACTATTGAAGTCATATACATGATATACTTATGCATATGAAACATTATAAAGTATGAGTTGGCAGTGATAAGAAATTATGTTAATAATTCATCCAACATTTACATTCATGTTGAGATTGTTGATAGCTGACATGCTTTATAAAACCAAACAATAGCATTTATATTTACTGCACAATTATGACGGAATATTTCGGTATAAAATAATAGTATTAATTGATGTTATTAGTGCCGATTTCAACAGCATTCCACAACATAATAATACTGATAGGAATGTTTTTTTATAAAATCAATTATACTCATTGCTTGATATTCAGTGTCATGTATATTTAACTGCATTATTTTATCCTGTGACAGAATTGACACATTCATATCACAATTCAACAGGATTAAGCTAGCAAAAGTTGCATTCAAATATACAAAAATACAAATCTCATTTGTGGACACGAAAAGAACATAAGATCCAACGAATGACGTGCAAATGATATGTTACAGTGTCACAGTATTTTTTTATACCAATGCAGTAACAGTGTTGTGTTATTGTCCATAGAAACTGTACTCACTCTCAGAGTGTGAACGAATATCCTTTCCAAATATTATGCCAGTTTCATTTCAAAACACAACCATATAACGATGCAGGTGCCATATATCATGCGGTGTTTAAGTAGATGACAACGTCCATTGTTCGACTTCAAGAACCATTTTGTTATCCTTCCCCGTCACGGACAGTCAGCGATATTGGCAAGCAGAGGTGCTCAAAGGTATGTGTGGGAGCTCATTGATATGCAAATATATGAATGACTCGTGGTTTCTATTGGACACATAATTTCGAGCACCTGTTAGTTCCGGATTTCAATATTTCAATACGTGACAGTATAAGTGCTAAAACCTAGAAACATTTCAACCAACTGCGATCAGTCGTCATACCTTGTCCTCAAATGCGTTTTGAGATCTAATGAATACAACATCCACCACTTGTCAAGGCCGTTGTCAATGACTCTTCCGACATATTTGTGAGGGTAGATAACTCTTGATTCTTTCTAAACTAAAGTGATCATGTCAACGTCCCAAAATGAAACATAACATATGACAATTTAATTTATATAAATCGAACAAATTATATTTGATGGAAAGACATAGTAATACTTGATAAGTCAAAGCACCTACACCAAAAAAGTACACGTCTGCCGGGCACTCGTCATTGTTTACGGAAGTAGATTACGTCCCTTCTTTCACCAGATGGCGCTGACGCAATGATGGCGGATTGTTCAAAGCAAGAAGATACGCTTGGATAATTATTTGTGAAGATTTTATAAACTTCGGTAATTATTTTGCCACAGCTATATTGGATATTCTGGTATAATAATTTTAATCAAGTACAAATTGTTATTAAGAGGAGTCTTTAGAGCTGAAAGTCATTTTGTGCAACGGGATTTGTGCTGAACATGTTTATTCTTGTTTTTCGTTTTGACAGCGACTTTTGGGGCCGACTTGTTATAACAATTTGTAAATATGAAAGTACTTTTCGCCTTCTTTGCTTTATTGCATCACCGAGGCAGCATGCGAAAGTAAACAATATTCATGTTGATATACTTATGATTTATTGGTGAAATCACAGAATTCATCACTTTATTGATGGTATGCATATTTTTTACGTTTCCATTTTGTTCTTGCATATGGAGGTGATAGAAATGAACAATATGAAGGAATAAGTGGTTTTGACAAGTTGTTATGACAGATAATTGCTGTAGCTGTATGTTATGTTAATTTTCTAAGGAGCAAGAGCAGATCTGATCCAAAAACGTTTGAGTTAACTTTCCCCAACATGTCAGTGTTCACGAATGGTGTTTCAAAGTCACAGGACATTTGGTCCTGTAATTTTCAGATGTCTGTCTGACCCATTGAAAATGCACAGGACCCATGGAATAAAATTAAACACACATTTCAGATTTAATATTTCTTATAACTGACATTGAAATTATTAACAAACATAAGCTTTATAAACAGCAAACAAGTGTCACATGTCACATAAAACAACTTCAGTCAAAGTCATTGTGAAATATACAGTCAGACACTTGGGCCGGCGGGTTGTAGACTTCTGTCTGACCGTTGGCGAATCTGCCGGATTTGTCAGAGGGTCAGACGCTATTCGTGATCACTGACATGTCATATATTTATGTTTATAGTGTCATCATATGGTACATTATATTAGCTGGGGTCCAATCCTCAAAGCTTTCGTAGCTCTTTGTCATTCCTAAGCCTATGAAAACCCCACAGTTACGATAGCTCATAACATTACAGACACCTTATGGATCGGGACCCTGGTCTCCTTATTCCAAACAGAAGTAAACTGACTTGGATCCAGACTTTTTGCAGAGTACTCTCGCTTGTGATGATAATAGGTTTAAAGATGCCAGCCCTAGCCATGTTTAGTCATATTGCATATAAATTAATTATGAACTGGTCTATCTGTCAGCTAAGACATCTTAGGATCTTGATCTCAGAGCATGAACAACTAATTGTACTAGCCTTCTGCCTTTTGAAACTGAAAGGCATGATGTCCACATCATAACTGTAGATGCAAGTGGATCATTCTCATTCCATCTAAAAATAGTAAAATGTCCATGATATCAAAACAATAAGACTTTCGTACCTTGAAAAAACTTAAATTTAGAGCACAACGAAATACGCCTGCTTCGGGAATTTGTATGTGTATTTGTAATACATTGCCCATATAAAATGAATGTATGTGCATTTGGGTTCTGACAGGTTTGGGGTTAAATAATGGAGTCTCAGATGTTATCCACTTTGGTAAAGCCATGATTATGGGTATGGTGCTGACAAATCTAGAAACCCAGAACCATGTGACAAAAGAAATTAGTTTCAGGTAGATTTGACATTTGATGTGATGAAAGTCATTTTTATCACAAATTATCTTAAAACATATCTATTTCCAATTTCAGTTTTTGAATTGATGAGTTATTTATTCCTTTTTACTTTCAGGTGATCACCATGGCATATACCGACTTTCCTCATCAAAATCAGCTCCAGTTTAATCTCAATGTCCCTCTGAAAGCCAAGAACTTGGTTGTGCAGCATCATCATCTACAGCCAGTGGTAATAGAGAAAGTTCGTGACAGGAGAGGGACATTCACAGGAAGACCTAATGTCCTCCATAGCTCACAGTCCTCTTTCCAGTTTCAGTCTGTGTCAGAGGACCGCATGGCTATTGCCATACAAATGGCCAGAAGGGATTTAAAAAATAAGAAAAGTCAGCAAAAGTCTGGCATCAGAAGTCGGTCTCCATCGCCAAAATCTTCTAAAACTCGAGTGATACATAGTAAAGAGTATTTGGAACGGCAGAAGAAGTGGCAAGGGAGGAGTAAAAAGCCTGTCAGTGTGAGGGAACGAGATGTGAACAGGCAACCACGGACAATGAAAACCCAGACCCCATCACAATCCCCTAAACCGTTCCTGAATACCAGAGCAGTCAGTCATCTGCCAGGTAGAATTATATATGCTAATGATTCTATATGTTCTGCATATATCAGGATGATCCTATGAATACACAATGCCATTTACGAAGTGTAGCACGTTATATTTGGGATTACACTTTCTCGGTTTGAGTCCCATCCTTTGAACCCACACCCTCAGAGTCAGGCACCCAATCGCCAGGACACAAAGTCAGCAATCTAGCCCCCTCAGCCACCATGGCTTCCACCAAAGATGGAAGTCGGACAAGTGGTAGTCTAGATCACATACTTTTTGTATCCCTCTGCTACGTGCAAATTGGCCCCACTCCCATGAGCGAAGGCTATTTGAAAACTTTCTAAATGGCAATGTGTACTAGAATCTGTACTTTACTGAGAGTTGTAATCCTCACCCACAAAACTTGGGTTGGCAATAATGGTACACAATCGTAATATCATGGAAACGAAACAGGCACCAATTTATTCTACGATCAAGATGATCAAGGATATTTCCTGTTGAGACATGACTGATTATTTCATCAATCGATCAATCACACCAGCACTAGCACATAGAAGTTATCACCAAAGACATTGTTTTTGCCCAATTGCCTGCCAAGGTTAGTTAGTTTTGGAATCCTATTTTAATACCTGTCTCTATCAGATATTTCCACCACATCTACTGTATTTTTGTTTATGTTTTTAAAACCTTTTCCAGTTACCACAAACAGTCCGCCGACTCGTGACATAGATGTGTACCCACGCTACAAGGTGAGAGAGGACCTGGAGCCCACAGACAACATAGAGAGACTGCAGCTGGAGCTCGAGGGTTATCTCCAACAGATAAAGAAGGTTGGAGAGAAGGCACTGCATGGTAATCATTCAAACAGCTTCTACATATAACACAGATATAACTCACACGGTTATAATATGCTCATTTCAGTGTCATATAAATATCTCATTGTGCATATCTTCTAATGAAGGTATGTCAACTGATAACAGTCTAGACATGGTCCCATGAACTGACAACCCCTCACTCTGCCTGGATTTATTTTCAGTTCAGTATTTTGCAGCCATTGTAGTTAATCAGCTGGGCCGAATCTAGAGGGAGGGTGCCGAGGTGCACTCCCAAAAACAAAAAAACAACAAAACAAACAAACAAACAAAACCCAACAAACACAAAAACTTCATGATTTATGTGGATTTGTTTATCAGTTCAGATATTTTGATAGCCGATTGAATTCATTATAATCAGATCAGTCAGTTTGACAGTCATAATAAGAAATAATCGCTGTATTTTTTACCTCAAAATGCCACTATAATTACTGTGGTCACAGGAAATCATGAAAAATAACGATGTTATTCGATCGTTTAAATACCATGTGTTTGTTGAAATGGCAAGCGGAAAGCAGACAACGCTCTCCCATTTCTTTTTCAGTTATTGAGGGTGACGAAACAAAAAACAGTAAGGGGCAAAATAATTATTCAAGTTCAAGTGGCAATCAGTCTTCAAAACTAAAACCTAGTAAATTATGGAAATTCAATCCAGACTGTGACTGACATTTCATGCAGGACAGGTAAATTAGGAGGTCGTCGGACACGTTGTCCAGCTGTTAAAAGAACAGCGGAAACACTAACCCCCTTCTCCAAATCCCTGATCTGCCCGTGATCAGCCTACAAAAATCTTTCTAGTGTTCTGCTAAATGGTGCTGAGGACAAGTAAGAATCCAGACATTGTAGTCCTCAATGACTAAAAATTTAATCATTGTTGTCCTTGATAACTATTAGCATTTAAGGGTTCTAATTCTGAACAGTTTGGAATGTTTCTTTTTCACTATGATTTGGAACTGAATTTAAGTGACAGTGAGATAAGGTTTTGCACTAGTCCTCTGAACTAGTAGAATTTGATTTGTGTATTCAATTTTATGCGTTTATGCAGCACACTTTGAAGAGATTCTTCAGTACAGTCATCCCTTGCCACTGTGACCCAGTGTGAGAAATAGTTTCCAAATTTTGCTAGCCAGTCGGGCTAGCTATGCCTGATAGTTACTAGCCCACAATATAATTCACTAGCCCGAAATGTGAATGTAGACACAGGTTTCACCATTAAGCTACTAATATGATGAACATTTTTATCAGGCCATAATCTTGCATGATTTAAAGTGTTTTATAACTAAACAAGTCTGAGAGAGTGATATATTTACAAAATGACCCCATGGACTTTGGAGATTTACTGGCTCCACTGGATTTTACTAGCCACGGGTTAGCGGGCCAGTGGCTATTTTGGACTCTGCTGTGACCACAGGGAAAATATTCCAGTTTCATCAGTTGATGAGTTTGTTTAAACATATATGTAATAAACTACACAACAGACACATTACATGATTTTAGGTGTTGATTCCCAAGTTGAAACTTAAAGCTAACTGGTAATAAGTCTGTAACAGAACTTGGAGGGAAACCAACAAACAGATTGAATGTTATTATCAGTTGTATTCTAATAATACAAATTTGAAGGCTATATACAGAAACAGTGATTATTGCAATAAAGACTATGATGGTAATATTAGGCTCACTGCAACAATGGTCAAGTTTCCAAACTAGGCTGAGAAAGACTGATCACCACACTATTGGTAGTATTCAATGAACTTGAGATGTGATGTGAGATTAAAGCCAAGAGTTAGCTCCCCTTATATACATGCAAAAAAAAAGTCTCCAGAAGATTGCCCTGGGTCCCTGGGTCAGAATATTGTGGAAAGGCCCATAGTGTTCTGGTACCCTGCAGTACCTTCCAGAACTCTTAGTACAGCACAAGTCTAGATATAGAGCATGCCACAGTCCTTCGGTTAATGTCAACAGGTACAATGTATTACACTTAGAACATTGTTACACAATGAATAACACCGCCACATGAAAATCAAAATGACATTGTTTAAAGAACCAATAAACTTTGTTTTTTGTTACTCTTTTAACCATTACATATGAAATATTTGTGGTTAGTCTTATGCGGAACACCCAATTTATTCTTTAAAAACTTGTGGTTAATTAATACCGAGCGATTAAAAGTGGCCAAAAAGTCGCCTGCTTCCCTCTCGCCCGCCAACGAAACCACAGACAGGTTACGTAACTCTGTCGCCAGAGCACTGCAGTGACGTCATATGAGGAACGATTTTCAGTTAGTTGTATAGAAAATGTGTAGCACGCTCATCATTTTGATGATTTCTCGACATCAACGACGACATGCCGAATCGTTGCTTTGTCGTCAATTGCTCCTAGGGTCGGGCGATAGTGTCCCCATGCACAGATTTCCACAGGACCCCGCAGTTCATGCTAAATGGGTTATGTTTGTGAGTGCTGAAGGAAGCGTTGTGGAAGCCTGAAACGATATCTTACTTGTGTTCAGATCGCTTCACGGAAGTTAAAGAATCAAAACTACTTACTAGTTGTAGTAAAATATGCATATGATTGATGACCATAAAGAGTTTCTATGACACAACTTGTAACATAACGATTTCTTCCTCGGAAGTGAGGTTGTGGTCGAAGTAACAATAATATTGTAAGTAGTATTATATTGACACTCCACCTCGCTGCCACGAGAGAAATTGTTATGTTATACGCTATGTCATGCAAAATCCTATTGGTCATCAATAAAATATATATTTTACTACTAGTAGAAAAGTAGTTTTGATTTTGTAACTCGGTGAAAACAAACCTAAATAGCATTTATCCTCAGACTTGGCGGATGTTCCCGACAGGGCCGCCATTTTAAAAATAAAAAATCTGTTAGAATTAATGAGATTATAGTTTGTTTTCATCAAGTTAGAAAATCAAGACTACTTTCTACTCGTAGTTAAATATGTATTGGAATCATAACCAAAAGGATTTTGCATGACACAACTTGTAACATAACGATTTCTTCCACGGAAGCGAGGTGGGGGTCGAAGTCACAATACTGCGCGATAAATTTCTTGCTACATTCCCATGGTTAATGTCCACTCACCAGTATGTAGATACTAGTCAATGTGGGTCTTTATAGTTGGTCTTATAATCCTAATTAGTTTATTATCATACTTGTATGTATTTTGAAACTAAATAAAAAGCAGACGATCTGCTGATACTTATAGTGAATTTATAACAGAACTGTAATATCTAGACATTTTATAGTTTGCCAATGTGAATCATAATTCGCACACACACCCTAGTGCATGTTGTCTGTCTCATTACACTTCACGGCGAAAACAATGATTCTGTTGAATGCTACGACAAATGAATAAAAACAAAATGCAAATATTAAAATTAAAACAGATTAAAGTTATAGGAACAATATCAGGCCATTACCTTGTTCGAGGAATGTATCCATCAATATCCACAAAACTGTTCCAAATGATGTGTCTTTTAACAGTTTAATATACGAAAAAGTGATAAATCTTTTCAGGTATTGGTGTATAGTCTCATTGGTCACCCAAGATAGCACACCTGGCAACTAATTGCATAATGTCCGCCTTTCTTTAAAAACAGTAATTTAGTTAGCCAATAATGGGCAATCAATCAATGTATTGCCGATTAATCCTTTGAAAGAAGGACGTTGTTTTTACGCGAGACACCGACACGACAATAGAGTGTATTCAGTATAGATTAGTAAATCTACATACATAAACACTACCTTTGACAATTCCGCTGTGTAAGATAAAAGTAATTAATCAATCAGCGTGTTATCGGTTAATCCTTTGATCGATGTTTATAATGTTGAATATTTACTCCAGACACAAGAAATGCCAAATGGGAACCTTTGTCGGTAATCTAAGTGTGTTACCACTAATTATACCTGTTATAAATTAATTAACTGACCATCAAGTGAATGATGACAAATAACATGTGTAGGTTTATACCACCTAACACGGGTTACAACAAGGGAGTATTAATTGCTGTATTGCATGTGAAAACTTATGGGCCGACACTGTTTTGAGAATACAAACAGATTTTTACATGACATGATTAAATATCGAGGTAAAAAACACAGAAATGGGATCAATTTGGATCAGTCATTATACAAATAGGGCCTAACGACACCAATCGATTTTGACAGAATCGTCTATGAAAACAAGTTGTAACTCGAAACTAGGCAAAGCAGGAGACAAAATTAAATGACAGTAGATTGTGAGAACATATAGCTTTCATTTTCCACAGCAATTGTCACGATTTCAGGTTTATACAAGCCTGTAAACAAGATAATTTAACCCCTAAAATGTAGATGAATTCTGCATCGGCCCTCAAAGCTATTCCTCATATGACGTCACAGAGGCGTGCCGCTCTGATTGGTTGAAATTTCGTTCGCGGGTGAGAATTGTGCACTGTTGTCAAAAAGGTCGATTTAAGTCAATTAAAGGTCGAAATGAGTAGTTTTAATAACGGGGTTTCATTTATAACGATGCCAGTTAGTGATTTATGTATTTGTACCCCCTAGGGTTTATGTGACCTTTAATAAATGGCTTGATCAAGGTGTTATTGTCTTCAATAATTGTCCAGATCCTGACCACTTTGTTCATCGATCCCGAAGTCGAAAGAAAGATGGCTACTTGTCTGACGAGGAAGATGAAGAACGAAGGGTGATAAGAACGGAAGAATTTGCCACCCGTGCAGCTCGGAACCTGTACAACCTGAGACAGCAAGTGCGTCAGATCCAGAGAGACTTGATGAACTTGGGGTCTGACAATAAGGTCAAACAGACAAAAAAGGTGACACTCGAAAACAAATAAATCAATATGACAGGAACATTTTAAAGTTTCAGCAGGATGTATCTCAGCTTTCTCGGCAAATATCATAACCATCTCCTAACTTTTAATTGAAAATTTCTGAGTTATGTTTATTTACAATAATTTCAATTCTAGATCAGTAGATGTGTTTCATATCTAGAGGGTTTTGGTCTATGGCATTCTGATCACTATGGGAATGTCTTGAAAATCTGTAAAATATTATTATTATTAAAGTATTAGTAGTAAGTTGAAGACTTTTTACATTTTACATACATAGGCAATATCTTGGATAGGATTTGGTTATTGGATTTATTAACTTGTTTATCAGGGGTGGAAATAACCCATTGCCCGACGTCTGAGTCCAGTGTTTTTTTCTGTTGGGCAAGCAAATTTGTATATCACACTGTACCGGTGTCCAGTTGACTTTCCAACGTTAATTATGTTGTTTATTTAAAAAATCAACAAGAAAACGGTCGGTATAATGGAAAAATTATCAGGACAAGTGATTTTACATGTGCCACTGTACCGGAGTACACTAGCAATTTTAAGGTTATTTTCACCCCTGTTTATGATTAGATTTTGTAACTTTTGTGTTGGACTAACGGCATTGGGGTAGCCATCATGTTGTTCGACTGTTGCTGACTTCAACAAAATCATGAAAAAGACACACAAAAAACAACCCTTCTTTCCGTCCACAATTGTTTCTGCCTGGATTGACAGTATGTCATTGATCCACAGAGCCAAGCTATGTCCAAACTGGGTGCAGCTCACAGAGGAGCTGCTAGGGCGATTCAAGCATTCGTCACCAACCTACCTCAACAAGACTTACGGAGTGGTCTCCCTTCCTCCTTCCATGAGCTGGCCCTGTTGATTCGCCAGTTGACTCAACTCAGCTCTCAGATCAAGGAGGGCAAGGACAGCCAGGTTCAGACAGAGCTGACCAACATGCTGGATAAAGTGGATGTAAGTTGATGCAGGTCTTAGTCAGGTTCAGACAGAGTTGACCAACATGCTGGATAAAGTGGATGTAAGTTGATGCAGGTCTTAGTCAGGTTCAGACGGAGTAGACCAACATGCTGGATAAAGTGGATGTAAGTTGATGCAGGTCTCAGTCAGGTTCAGACAGAGTAGACCAACATGCTGGATAAAGTGGATGTAAGTTGATGCAGGTCTCAGTCAGGTTCAGACGGAGTATGACCAACATGCTGGATAAAGTGGATGTAAGTTGATGCAGGTCTCAGTCAGGTTCAGACGGAGTAGACCAACATGCTGGATAAAGTGGATGTAAGTTGATGCAGGTCTCAGTCAGGTTCAGACGGAGTTGACCAACATGCTGGATAAAGTGGATGTAAGTTGATGCAGGTCTCAGTCAGGTTCAGACAGAGTTGACCAACATGCTGGATAAAGTGGATGTAAGTTGATGCAAGTCTCAGTCAGGTTCAGACAGAGTAGACCAACATGCTGGATAAAGTTGATGCAGGTCTCAGTCAGGTTCAGACGGAGTAGACCAACATGCTGGATAAAGTGGATGTAAGTTGAAGCAGGCCTTAGTCATGTTTAGGGATTTATGTATATGGACCTGTCCAAAGCCCACATTTGATCCCAAAAATGTCAGTAAAATTGAAATTGAAGACTTTCAAATTCCTGTTAATCAGGCAGCCGCTGCACAAAACGATCTTATTACTAAGGTGATCGTAACTCCCATTCCTTAACACATAGTCTTACGACTGGCGTATCACTTAGGCCGCTCTGTACAACAGCACCATGCTTATTACTAGTGTCTTGGAATTGTAGCAACTTGTACTTTTGAATCCCTTTGAATGTGGAGGTTTTCTGTTTAGAAAAAACCCACCCTTCATAAGGAGGTATTCACATAAAAAGCAGCATGGAACCTTTTAGCTTAGTAACTGTGTAAACAGTGCTTTTTACGTTTATTGATAATCCATAAACACAAAATTGTCAAAGCATGGTAAGACAAAATATTAATAACCCTGATAACAACAATTCAGGATTAGTGACATTTTTCAATACAATAATTATAAAAGACATGCTCCAGCCACTAGGTAGTCCATTAACAAGTTTTGTCTCATTGTTTTGCAATTCCTGAAAACATTAATGACAAAAAATGCTTTGTTACTATTAATGTTAGCCAATCAAATGCCTTGAAATCACCTGCAGACTATTTATCATTAGTTTCAAACTGTTGGCCTTGACCAAATGTAGTCATGTTAATTCCCTGCCTGTTTCCTGACAGGACCTGAACGATGCATGGGAGAGAGAGGTGCGGCAGCGTAGGAACATGAACCGTGAGTCGCCGCCCAGGAAACGCTCTCCAGTCAGTCGCCAACTGTTTGACAGGGAGGAGGAGAGAGTCAAACAGTTCAGAGCACAGATGAGAGGACATGGCAAGGAAAATAAACCAAAGAGTAGGTGTTTAGTTTGGATGTAAATTGTCTTGTTGATGCCCAGAATTTCAAGTAACTTCACACAATTCAGTCAAATATTTCAGTGACCAAACTTTTCTTAACGTTTGAGATTTTGATTACCTGAAACCAACTTTATTTTTTCAGGTGTGTTGAAGAAGACGGTCAAGCATTCCTATCAAGCACCAAAAGTGCAGCCCCGCAAAGGTATTGTGCAGTTATTGACGTGATTGTGTGGTCAAGGGGAGATAACTGAAAACTTTTCTCCCGTTTCTTTTTAACTACTGAATATCACATGTACCACACCAAAAACACTGTCTCCATCATCAATGTGCCATGTTGTAATCATCACGTTGCATATTTTTTAAGGGATTGTGTCTTGTGTGTAATTAGTGTATCTAGTTCTATTCAATGTTTGTACATATTCTGGGACGGTGGGGTAGCCTAGTGGTTAAAGCGTTTGCTTGTCATGCCGAAGGCCCGGGTTTGATTCCCCACATGGGTACAATGTGTGAAGCTCATGTCTGGTGTCCCCTCCGTGATATTGCTGGAATATTGCTAAAAGCGGTAAAACCAAACTCACTCACTTCACATGTTCTATTTGGTATTTTGGTATTACACATTGTGGAATCTGCTCTAGAAAATGTTTCAATTTGACAGTAAGTATAGAAATTGAAGTACAGTCTTTTGTCACATTTGTAGAGAAGTCCCCAGATAGACAAGCCACACTGCGAGCTGGCATCGCTGCCTTGATGCGGGAGCGTGACCCCTCTCTTGAAGGTCGGCCTCGAGGAGGTGTGTCATGGAACATCTCACTGGACAACAAGCCCTCACAGAAGAAGGGTCTGTTACTGCCAGCTAAATTACAGGTGCACTTTCTGAAACTTACATTTGGCATTTTGAAACCACAATCAACTTATTCTGAGATTTCATCCAAAATTTTATGTCTCTAAGGCACTTTATCATTGTATTAAATACATTTCAAGCACTCTGTTTAACTTAATTAAAGATATCTGTGTACATATCAAGCATCAGTTCGTATCCTACAAGCTTTAAGCCTCCTCACACTGGTGGGTGAGTTGTCTTAAAAGCCAGGCTAGTGATCCAGCAAGCTTGAGGTGCGGGATAGAGCCCACCTGTGTCCGGTGTAAAACCTTGGAGTCAACTTTTGTGCAGACTCTTTCAGTGTTGTCACAACCACTAGTGTACAGTACACAACCCTGTGCACTTACAAGAACCCACAAATCCGTTGGTATATGACCATATGGTGGCCACATGAATACGAGCGATCACCTAGGTGTGGGTACAGCAATGTGCTGTAAACTAGAACGATGTCCCAGTCCAACAAGCTGTGAATGGGTATCTCGTAGGTGCGATCACCTAGGTGTGGGTACAGCAATGTGCTGTAAACTAGAACGATGTCCCAGTCCACCAAGCTGTGAATGGGTACCTCGTAGGTGCGATCACCTAGGTGTGGGTACAGCAATGTGCTGTAAACTAGAACGATGTCCCAGTCCACCAAGCTGTGAATGGGTACCTCGTAGGTGCGATCACCTAGGTGTGGGTAGCAGCAATGTCCCAGCTGTGAAACCTAGAACGATGTGCTGTAAACCATGTCCCAGTCCACCAAGCTGTGACTGGGTACCTCGTAGGTGCGATCACCTAGGTGTGGGTACAGCAATGTGCTGTAAACTAGAACGATGTCCCAGCACCAAGCTGTGAATGGGTACCTCGTAGGTGCGATCACCTAGGTGTGGGTACAGCAATGTGCTGTAAACTAGAACGATGTCCCAGTCCACCAAGCTGTGAATGGGTACCTCGTAGGTGCGAAGGATGGAAAAGACGCAATAACTTGGTGCACCTAGTGGCTGTACGAGTTGTATGATCCCCAGGGAGTTGAGATTGATAATACAATGTGCTGTTGAGATTGACATTCAATGACCGAGGGAAAAAATGCCAGCGCCTTGAGCATGTACTGGTTGTGTGGATGTGTGAGCTATATAAATATCCTATGATAATAAAAATAATAATAACCTGTACACTTAGCATCATTAGGAGTTGGCACTGGTGTTATTATGCAGACCTAATTAGGTAAGCCTAAAAGGCAGAATAGAATTGTGCTTGACTCATGCTTCAGACAAGTGGTTTAAGTCACAGGCTAGTATATTAACTGTAGACAGGTGTTACACACTTGAAGCACTAATGTTTAAGTCATAGGCTAGTATATTAACTGTAGGCAGGTGTTACACACTTGAAACACTAATGGTTAAGTCATAGGCTAGTATATTAACTGTAGACAGGTGTGACACTTGAAAAACTAATGTTTAAGTCATAGGCTAGTATATGAACTGTAGACAGGTGTTACACACTTGAAACACTAATGTTTGGTAGAGAAGCACAGGGTTTTACATGACACAGAAAAGTGTTGATTATGCACAAATGTATAAAGTCAGGGAAAAATGAAAGTGCACTCAGTAATCTTTATATGCAAATTCATGACAAGAAATATAAAGGTCCTGTCATTAAAGAAATTATCAAATCTCATAAATCTTATAGTAGGTTACCCAACACCATTTCATTTATTCACAGGAATTGGGGGGCATAGGGTAGCCTAGGGGTAAAGCGTTCGCTTGTCCGGGTTCAATTCCCAATATGGGTACAATGTGTGAAGCCCATTTCTGGTGTCCCCTGTCGTGATATTGCTGGAATAATGCTTAAAGCAACGTAAAACTGAACTCATTTACTGACTTACTTCCCCGAGATTGGTCATTTGAGGTCCTCAGAACTCTATGTAGGTCGTAAGAATCGTGGTATTAGTGGACTGAGTGTTAAAACCGCTCATCATCCGCCAAAGTCGGCAAACATGCTCGTTGACTCATTTATGATTTTAATGGAATATATTTGGAGTCTTGTGCCAGAATATGATATGATTTCCATTCCAGGCTAAGCGGGAAAAACTCCATAGACATCAAGCACAGGCTGTGGCAGACAGCCATTTTGCTGATCCGACAATTGCTGCCAATCGTAAAGCTGTTCTTCCACTTCACAACCCCTTCGATGACGACTCCCGGCCAAACTCAGCTCCATCTTCACCAGGACAGAGGTGTGTCTTTCTTCTCATAATGTGGCGGCGGTGGGGAGTAGCGTGAGTGGTCAAGGTATTCGCCAAAGACCCGGGCCGATTCCCCACGCCGAAGACTTGGATTCGATTCCCCACATGGGTACAATGTGTGAAGCCCATTTCTGGTGTCCCACGCTGCAACATTGCTGGAATAGTTAAAGCAACGTAAAACCATACTCACTCATACAAATTATGTCCAATGATGAAGTTTTCTATTGGTTTTGTGTTGATGTGTCTGTTTCTGTTTAGATATCGAAGCCAGTCTCACAGTCCAAACAGACTTGGGTCCCGTCACCCCTGGAAACCTCCGGGAACCCCGACAAAAAGCCCTGCCACGCCCAAACATCGGAGTCGCTCATTCAGTCCTCCAGGTTCTCGTATGAGGTTCTTTGTTGAAGATGTAGACAAAGATATTGTCAAGTAAGTAGACATGGATAAGATATTGCCAATCCTGAAGGGGACTTCAGGTTATAATTGACCACAGTAGACTGTATTGGTTGTAGAGGGCAGGTGTGGAAATAACCCATTGCCCGACGCCCGAGTCCAGTGTTGTTTTCTGTCGGGCAAGCAAATTTGTATATCACACTGTACCGGTGTCCAGTTGACTTTCCATTATTAATTATGTTGTTTATTTAAAAAATCAACAAGAAAACGGCCGGTATAGTGGAAAAATTATCAGGGCAAGTGATTTTACATGTACCACTGTACCGGAGTACACTAGCAATTTTAAAGTTATTTCCACCCCTGAAAAGGCAGTCATGGATTGGGCAGTTAGGCTTGGAGACTTGGTTGATATCATGTCAGTGTACTGAATCTGCTGGTTGTGAACTGGAATTATAGATTCTGTGAACTGGAATTATAGATATTCAGCCTGATTATGCTGAATGTAGCCCTTGGGAATATCCATGACCTGGTTCACTATCCTCCCACTGACCACTGATTAACGTCCACTGTCCACTGTCCTAGACATCTGACCTATGTGACCCACGAAGGTCCAGGTTAGAACAAGCCTTCAGTAACCCATACTTGTCGTAAGAGGCGACTAACGGGATCGGATGGTCTGGCTCGCTGACTTGGTTGACACATGTCAGCAGTTCCCAATTGTGTAGATCGATGCTCATGATGTTGATCACTGGATTGTCTGGTCCAGACTTGATTATTTACAGACCGCTGCCATATAGCTGGAATATTGCTGAGTGCGGCGTAAAACTAAACTCACTCACTCACTCTGACCTATGTCCTCTGACCAATGTCCTCAAGCTGACATCGTATGTGAGGAGTGAAATACTGTTGAAATAACAGTCAGCACAACTCACTCTCTTAACTAAAGTCTTTTAATGTCATTGCATAGCTCATCATGCTTTTGTTGTATCAAACATCGGAAAGCTCGAAGTATGTACGTAGGTCCCTTCAAGTGCGACTATTTAGACATACAAATGAAACCAGTTATGACTAGGCACAAATTGGAGAAGTTGTGGTGATGGTGATTGTGGATGGTAGTGATGGTGATGTGATGTGATGTGATAAATAATAATAATAATGATAATAATAATAATGGAAATTCATATAGTGCTAAATCCAACCACTACGTGATGTGATGATGATGATGATGATGATGATGATGATGATGATGATGATGATGATGATGAAGTAAAGTCTTCATGTTGCTGCTTTCAGACAACTGTTTCCCGATGACGAGAAACCAACATTCAAGGTAATATACATCCCTTGAACATGTCCGACAACAAAATAATTGTCTCCATTATCAATACTTACATAAAATCAGACTTTTTCATCATATTAAAAAAAATTGAATTAGACAAAAAAATTCTGCTGGTTGTAAAATTGAAGTGAACTGAATTGAAGATACAGATGTTGATAGAATTATTCTAGTGATACATGGAACGCATTGACTTCATATTGCAGCACAGTCGTAAATCAAGAAGTGTTTCATCCCCAAGAAGAAACAGATCACCGAGAGCATCAAGCATGTCAAGGTAATGTATGGGGGTGGCCAATATCGATGTAGTGTAGATAAGTCATTTGTGGACTGTTGGCTTGTTAGACTGAATAGTGGGAAGATGTGTACAATACTAGGGCTGCAACGAATATACTAGTAGGCGAATTTGATATGTTTTACAGGGAGTTGTGGGTAGCCTAATGGTTAAAGCGTAGGGTCGCTACGCCGAAGACCCGGTTCAATCCCCACATGGGCACAATGTGTGAAGCCCATGGTGTCCAGCTGTATGTTGCTGGAATAGTCTGTAAAACCAAATCAAAGTCAGTCAGTGATATGTTTTACAAACATAAAAGTTAGAGTGAGTGACTGAGTTTAACAATACTCAGTAATATTCCAGCTATATGTCTGTAAAGTAATGAGAAAGCAATACATTGCCCTATAGCCTAATGACAGTATCGTAAAAGGCCTTGGCATAATGACCCAATTTACTACTGCATGGCTTGTAATATTCCATTTTGCTTATCTCGCTTAGATTGACAACAAACTAGTTCAAAGTAAAAAAACACTCTCTTCAAAATATTCATAAATATTCGATTCTAGTGGCCACTAGTTTGATTCACCGAATATGCGAGTGCATTGTAACAGCACTATCTAATACTATTATTGCTGTATTTTCAAGACAATGAAATGTTTAAAAAGTCGGTTCAATTCATCCATGGGAATGGTGGGTTAAAATAGGATCCTGTTCACCTATTTCTTTAAAAAATAGGGCAAAGATGGTGTTGTAATTGATTTCGTGTTTTGGTACCTTGATGACCTGGGCAAGGGTCCACAAAGCGATTGTGTAAAACATCAATGAAAATGTTTTAGGAATGCTAATGTATGTTTTAAAATTTCAACAAAATAATTAGATTGTTGTCCCCTATACAGACGGCGAGAACCGCTCCGGAATTCATTTGTGTCGAGCGTGGTGGATGAGGCCAAGAAGAGGATGAAGCCATATCTTAAGAAGGTGCAAAGCTCGTATGCATGTTATGGGGCAGAAACTTCTACAATTCCCTCGGAGGCAGTAGACTTCGCAACCAGCACCTTGCAGTACTTTCCAGATTTCTCTGTCTAAATGTAGTACACATCTAATTATAGCACATCACTGCCTGTTAATAATTCTACAGGCACAATGTACAACACATTCTCTTCCCACAGAGATTACTCCTATCGAATCTTCCTACGTAACCTCTGTTCTAATACGGCCATATTTCCCGGTTCTAGTAAAATCCCCTAGCTGCAAAAATCGCAACACGAATTATCTCCCTTCTTTCTATCCAATCCGATCACGTGTCACATCGACTTGGATCCAATATGGTGGCAGCCATGGAGTTAGTTGATCAACGTGCAAAGGATAGAAGATTCGGTATTTGATGTTAAACTGAAAAGTAGAAACTAGTGTAATAGAGATTGCAGGAATCAATCAACAAGATGTTTTTGTAGAAAGAGGTTACGTAGAAAGATATGACAGGAGTAACCTCTGTGGGAAGAGAATGTGTACAACACTGCCCTGTGACAATGTACAGATCAACTTTTGGATCATTTCTATTATGCATCGCCTGACTTCAGGTAAAACTGCAGTCTACCAAACCAGTATGTCCCTTTGATAGTTAAGTTCAATATAAATTGCACGACTTACTCCATTTACTCTGTCATGATCTCATTTGAATTGACAATGTATGCTTGTTGTAAGGGACGTCTAAGGTGATCTGTTGGTCAGGCTTGGTGACTTGGCTGATATATGTCAATGTATAACTAACTGCATAGATAGATGCTCATAGTCTCAATCACTGGATTGTCTGGTCCGGACGCAATCATAAACGGACTTCCATCATATGGCTTTAGTCCCCTGTCGTAACGGGAGACTATGTATTCAGCAGTCCGTACATCTGTATGTATGCACATCCCGATTCTTGATAACGCGATATCTCATGAACTGTTGTACCCAATGTCTTCAAATTTGTTGACAGCCTACATTGGGGATTACACAGACACCAGCCGATTTGGTTGACCTTGACCTTATTTTCAAGGTCACCACGACACTTTGACCACTTTTCAAATATATGTAAACATGATATCTCATAAAATATTGCACCCAATGTATTCAGTTATGTCGACAGCCTACATTGGGTGATTATGCAGAAAACAGTCATTTCAGGAATCTTGTATGTGACCAAAAAATAGTAAATATGTTATAAACATTTCATTCTCCTTTATCAGCAGGGGACATTGCCACATTAGTGGCAAACACTTGTTTGTTTGTTGTTGTATGCAGCACTCAGCAATATTCCAGCTATATGGCTGCAGTCTGTAAATAATCGAGTCTGGACCAGACAATCCAGTGATCAACAGCATGAGCATCGATCTACGCAATATAGATACAATGACATGCATGTGACAATCAAGTCAGCGAGCCTGACCACCCGATCCCGTTAGTCACCTCTTATGATAAGCATGGGTTACTGAAGACCAATTCTACCCCAGATGCCATTGTATGGTAGGAATAGTGCTAAGTGTGTGATTAAATAACGAAGACTCCATTTCATGATACTACCTGTGGCCCAGTTGTCTGAGGTGCCACAACAATCTGAGCAGGAACGTAGCCCAAAGTCCTGGGTTCAAATCCCAGGTTCTGTCCACACTATACCCACACTCTGTGGCTTTTAACATGGTAAACATCTGTGACAACAGTATCCATCTTCTTGACACAGGGAGCTGCTTCGTATCCTGGTTACCGGAGGTCTCGCAGGTCATCACCATCACCAGACAGAGTGAGTTGGGGAACAGAGATTATTTTGAGCAATTCTTAATAGCCTTCAATAGTTCCTTATGTTTAGCTGTTCAAAATAATCATTGATTCTGCAATGGACCTGGGTCTATTCAATTGAAAGTAGACCTTTAGTGAGGTGAGGTGAAATTGGGTTAACGTCGTGCTTGAGAATATTGCGATCATATGACGACGCATGCATGCGTGTGTATGTGCATGTGCAGCTGCTTGTACTAGCCCAGACTTATAGTGCTAGCCCACTGAGATACCATGCCGCAGTGAAGCATGAATACCCCACTCAGACACATTATACTGACTCCGAGCCGACCAGTCCTTGTTGTACCCAGTAATGCCGAGAGCCAGGCAGGGACCAACAAGTACCATATTTTAACGTCTTTTGGTATGACGTGGCTGGGGATCGAACCCGCGACCTTTCGCTCTCCGGGCGGACGCTCTAACCACTACACCACGGAGGCGGTAGAACTTTAGTAGAGTGACAGGCAGACCTCTTCTGAAATATTTACAAAATAAATGATCAATATGTGAAATCAATCATGTCCAATTTAATTAAAATCTCTTTTTTGATAAGTGTCTTTGATATATGTGTTTCTAAATAAGGAAATGAACAAAAGATCTGATTTTAATGCAATAAAATTTGTGTCATGGGTAACCATGGTAACCAACTGTGGCATCTGGTATTCCGATTCAGATTGGGTTTCAGTGGTACAGATGTGTGTCTGTCACAACTTGATTTTGAGTCAAAATGGTTCCAACATTGCCATCCAAAATCTTTGTTTCAGTCGTTTCAGTCAAGTATTTATGACGACTCCATGACTAGCCAACTGCTTGACGACATCCTTGCGGACACCGTCCATGATATGCATAACATGGATGACAGGGAGAGGGTTCGCAAGAAAGCTGTGTCCATGCAGGATGCGCCTACCCTTGAAACCATATTCCAGAGGTTAGAGCAAATGGAGGTCAGTGAAAACTGAATTATTTTAGAAAAAAATCCCAGAATTCCAAAGCAGTAATTTTTCCAAATCTTGAATAATATTAGTCATAAATTTCCTTTACTTTATTACTCACCTTAGCTCTTGTCTCTGTTTAACCCAGCAAGAACAGGTGGACATTCGACGTAGATGGGCAACGGTCAGCTATACAAACCCGCAGCCAGTGTCCAAGTACTTCACCACAAGTAGGTAGTTAGGTAGTTGTGTACATAGTAGCATTGTATTATGGTGGCAAGCTTCTCATACCTTGTTGTTTGTCAGTGTAGCTCTTCTCATACCTCAGATCAGTCACAGTGGGGGATAAGAGTGTTGAGGGATTTGCCAAACAGAACAAGTTATAGACCACTGAAATGGGAATATGATTGTGTGTTGAGATCTAAATTGACTGTATTCTCTTGATATTATGCAGGATATTAGTGCTATGCTATTGGTTGATGTTTAGTGATGATGACTGTGGTGGTGGTGATGATGTTGATGATGTTGATGATGATGATGATGATGACGACGACATAGGTGTTAATGATGATGAGACGACGACAAAGGTGTTGGTGATGATGATGGTGGTGGTGGTGGTGGTGATGATGGCGATGATGAGGCGGCGACAAAGGTGTTGGTGATGATGATGGTGGTGGTATGGTGGTGATGATGATGATGATGATGAGACGCGGCGACAAAGGTGTTGGTGATGATGATGAAGATGAGACGCGGCGACAAAAGTGGTGGTGATGATGATGAGACGACGACAAAGATGTTGGTGATGATGATGAGATGACGACAAAGGTGGTGGTGGTGATGATGATGATGAGGGGTGACAAAAGTGTTGGTGATGATGATGGTGATGATGGTGGTGGTGATGATGATGGTGGTGGTGATGATGATGATGATGATGAGACGACTACAAAGGTGGTGGTGGTGATGATGATGGTGATGATGATGATGAGACGACGACAAAGGTGTTGGTGATGATGATGATTATGATTTCAGAGGAGGTTTTGTCAGATTATCCCCGCTCTCCACCAGCTATCGAGGTACACAGGACAGGTGGACCCACAACCCCACCCAGACATGTGTAAGTACACACTGCTCCAATATACTGGAAGTACCGCTAAATACTTGAACAGCTGTATTCTTTCTGGCTTAAAACAGAATGACAGTTTACCATTATCTTTGGTTTCGTACCAACACACAAGCTTGTGGGTTCCAACTTGAGTGGAACACATTCTTGTCAAAAGAGTTGCCTGATGATACGATATTGTCGGGCCCACTGGCTTGATTCGTGTTCCATTTGGCGTCTTGATACTCATGCTTTCAATTAATTGATTGTATGGTCCTGACGGTTTTTAACTATCTGCCATCTTATCGCTCAATTTTTGGATAATGGAACAGTAAACAACAAACCTGGATTACTTTGGGCTGTTCACTATATTTGTAGCATCCGTGAAGATCCGGGTGAGAATTGATCTTCAGTAACCCATGCTTGTCATAAGAGGTGACTAATAGGATCGGGTGGTCAGAGTCGCTGACTTGGTTGACACATGTCTTCGTATCCCAATTATGTAGATCGATGCTCATGCTGTTGATCACTGGATTGTCTGGTCCAGACTCGATTATTTACAGACTGCTGCCATATAGCTGGAATATTGTGAGTGTGGCCTTAAACTAATCTCACTCACTCATATTCCAAGCATTAATATTGCTGTAGGAGCCACTTATCATTGTTGAAAATTTGCTACATGGAATCATAATGATCTATATCAATTTAATTTTGGATTCCCAAATCTGCAAACTTTTCCCAGAGTATTGTATCTCAGTATTACTAAACACAAAGTCCATATCAGATATCAGTAATGCCAGTAGAACCATCTCATTCATCTTGTCATGCTCCAAATCAAAATCACCAGAGTGCTTTTGTTCCATCAGGAAATTTTCCCACCAACCCACAGAGGAGCCAATAGTGTTTACCAAAGAATCAAAACAGTCAAAATGGACAGAGAGTTACTCACACAAGGTTCCCAAGGATGCAGATGAGCGGGAGCCGAAGACGGTCCCTAGCATGTGTAGGCCTCGGACAATGTTGTCCATTCCCCAGACGGTGGTCAGTAGGATCGACGACCATCAGGAGGCATACAGCAGCTACCTCAAGAAGATGTCCCATCACCCACAGGGGCTCTTCCAGCCGTGGAAACTTGTTCAGAAGTAAGTTGTCACAAAATATTTTAAAATGCTGAGAAAATTTCAATTGACAGTCGGGCTGGGGATATACCACGATCTTTAGCCTGAGCAAACTTTTGTTTGGCACAGACTAGTTGGCCTTTAGCTATTCCACACACTAGATGAATAGGTTGGTGAGTAGCTGCGGTAACCGTGTTATCAGAAATGAGCGGGCCGCTGTAACTTGATAATGACCCCAAATTGCTTGACGACGGGCCATTATCATGCACATTGTTAGGTGACGTCATAAGGAACTCAACTCTTGATGTTCAATCACCTACGGCTCGTTTGAACTTGGTTCAATATTGACAGTGTTGACGATATTTCTGACTCAAATTTGTCACATGTACCTGTGCCATTATGCACTTTCTTGCCGGTGCCAACCTTAACAATTGTACCATAAATTACAACATGCAGCAATGAAAACATCCACTGGAACTCAACGTTGTTGAGCATCGGGCAGTTAATAAAAGACCTCGGGCTTCTGCAAATGATAATGCCCTGAAAAATAGCGTTACCCTTATTGTATCACTGTCTTTTTGCATTTATCTCACCATCAACTAATTGTTAGTATGAATATGGCATAAAACACAACCTGCTTGTATTACAGGATTAGTGATGAGATTTTCGCAGAGTGTTTGGAAGAGGTAACGGGAGAACTAGACGAGTTCAACGAAGCAATCGCAAACCATTTGTACAAATCAGAGTTCATGGAAGCCAAGGGTCAGACCCCTTCACCAGAAGGTCAGGGCTTCTGTATCACAGATCACGAGCCGGACCACTTCCCCAGAAGCTAGAGCACCCTTACCCCAAGCCGAGGAGAGGCTTAGTGGGAGGGATATGTCTCGTGATGCTTCTCCTAAGCATGTGAGTGTGTCTTCACGACATATTGAAGATTTTGAGGACGAGGAAGAGGACGACGATGAGGATGATGATGAAGACTTTGGGAGTGAGGACTGGCAGACAGATGATGAGGATGATATCAGCTAGTGCCCTGACTGTTGTGTTCATGGCCAGTGAAGTTGATCTGTTGATCAGAATTTCTTCAGTCTAGAGAGGCAGGGAAACAATAAAGCAAAGTTCATGCACATATACTCGGCTATGTAAGATGGTCAAGTGTTGGCTGAAGACTGATAAAGATGTTTCAAACCTTCAAGAAGTTGATAAAGAACTGAAGTGTGATAATTATCATTTTGTACCTGGCTAAAAATAGCCTAGGTATGATACATGTTTAGCAAGCTTGTTTCAACTCATGTCAGTCAGTTATATAGTCAGGGACAGTATGGCCATGGTAGACTAAGGTTATATAGTCAGGGAAAGCTACTATAGCCTTAACTCAGATGTTGACTAAGGTTATATAGTCAGGGACAGCTAATATAGCCATGGTAGACAAAGCTACTATAGCCTTAACTCAGATGTTGACTAAGGTTATATAGTCAGGGACAGCTAATATAGCCATGGTAGACAAAGCTACTATAGCCTTAACTCAGATGTTGACTAAGGTTATATAGTCAGGGACAGCTAATATAGCCAGCAGCAGAATAACTTAACCATGTTATCTAATATGGCCATGGTAGACAAAGCTACTATAGTTGTGCATGGTGGTTAACTAAGATAATACAGTCAGTAATTGACTATAGTCAGTGATCAGTCTAAGTAAACTTAGGCTCAGTATTATTACACTGTCAGTGTTTCAGACAACTTTCAAATCTTTTTAGCTGTGAAACAAACTGAAGATGTGTAACAACATATTCATGTTTTTATCCCTCTGTGTGATTGGAATACCTTTTAACAATGATAGACCTGTTGATGTCTTTCCATACAAAGCTGTGATATTTATTCAGTGGATCTTGTGAATCTACTGATGGAAAGTGACCTGTATTTGCAAACTTACTGCTGACATGAGGAATTCTGCAGATAGGAAGTTCAGCTGGGACTTTTCTGTGATGTGTTTCAACCATGACTTCAGCTGACGGAATCATCAGTGATTGATAACCATAGAGGCTGTAATTACCCATATACTGTTTACCATCCAGATATTATGTATGTAATTATGCATGCATGTATGCATTATTATGTCCACACTTTAATTTCATTTCTGTGTTAAGTGTTGTAACATAAATGTGAACATTAGTGAACAAACAATATATGCTTTTTTTGACAAAATAGACAGACACAGATTCTTCATACATGCTTGAGGGGTGGTGGGGTTGCCTAGTGGTTAAAGCGATCACTTGTCACGCCAATGACCCAGGTTCGATTCCCACATTGGTACTATGTGTGAAGCCTATTTCTGGTGTCCCCTGCCGTGATATTGCTGAAATATTGCTAAAAATGGCATAAAACCAACCTCATATTCATACATGGTTGCAGTCACAAGCAGTATTGTAAAACATGCAGCACATGAGTTTCTGACAACCTAAAGCAACCCAAAAGTGGTGTAAATTCGTTCCCAAACTTGTTTTGTATGCGAGAGTAGTTTTGTTTTCAAGAGCAAGTTCTGTATTCACGTACTAGCTAACACTTCACAGCATGTTCCAACTTTACTAAAAATTTTCATTTGGGAAGGGAATTGTTTCTATAACCAGCATTCAATTGGGGATATTCATGCTCACTAATAATACTGAAAGCAGTTTAAAACCTTGCATGGTTAAAGTAGAGAATGTTAGCACATCAGTTAGCCCTGAACAACAATTACTAATTTAGGTCACCTACACTGTCGGTTTTTGTGTTTGTATTCTGCCTTAGATTAATCATTGGTATTTTTAGATTTGGCGTCTTTACACAAGGTATAGAGTGTCATGTACATTTTCAGTTTTAATAGAGGTCACTAATTACAATTACTTACAGATCTGGGATTTGGTCATGGGTACATATTTAGAGCAGGGCCCTTATTAATTAGATCTGTTCGCAAGCTGTTTTCACAACATCTAATTTATTTCGTAGAACGTTAAAGACAGACACATCATATTTCAGTTGAGTCCTAATTTTACTGTGAGGTGAATGCATAGAGAATAAAACACTGTACAATATATATAAATAAATGTATTTATGTATGAGATAAATAAATTAATACATTTCCTATTTTCTACTGTTTTATAATCCTCATCATCATAATCATAAATGTGGGTACCAGCATTGCACTTGACTCCACACATAATGTTCATGCTCAAAGCACTTGCATTATTACCCTGGTCTGATTGCACTCAAGTTTTATGCTCAGCTTCCTGGGGAGTATACAAACCAATGCCTTGTCAGGCACTATAAGGTAAACAGTCTCAGTGAGTGAAGTTAGTTTAGTTTAAGCCCTCAGTAATATTCCAGCTATATGGCGGCTGTCTGTATATAATCGAATCTGGACCAGACAATCCAGTGATCAACAATATGAGCATCGATCTGCGCAATTGGGAACCGATGACGTGTCAACCAAGTCAGCGAACCTGAACACACGATCCCATTAGTTTCCTCTTATGACATGCATGGGTTACTGAAGATCAATATTGTAACCTGGACCTTCACAGGTCGTTTACAGTCTCAATACCATCGCTTCCTTTGAAGTGAAGTGAAGTTCAGGTATAGAATCGTCCTTCAGCCACCCATGTTTGATATATGAAGAAGGGGTGGTGGGTAGCGTATTGGCTTACCACGCAGAAGACCTGGGCCTATATTTTCGAAGCTCTCTTAGCGCTAAGATAGTCGTAAGTTAATGTAAATGTATGGCACTTACGACTATCTTAGTGCTAAGAGAGCTTTCGAAAATATAGGCCCTGGGTTTGATTCCCCACATGGGTACAATGTGTGCAGCCTTTTTGTGGTGTCCCCTGTCGTGATATTGCTGGAATATTGCTAAAAGCGGCGTAGAACCTTACTTACTCACTCATATGAAGAACCGCCTCCATGGTGTAGTGGTTAGAGCATCCGCCCGGAGAGCGGAAGGTTGCGGGTTCGATCCCCGACCGCTACATACCAAAAGACGTTAAAATATGGTACTTGTTGGTCCCTGCCTGGCGCTCGGCATTAATGGGTACAACAAGGACTGGTCGGCTCGGAGTCAGTATACTGTGTCTGAGTGGGGTATTCATGCTTCACTGCGGCATGGTATCTCAGTGGCCTAGCACTTTTAAGTCTGGACTAGTACAAGCAGCGGCACATACATATACACATGCATGCACGTCATCATATGAGCGAAATATTCTCAAGCACGACGTTAAACCCAATTTCACCTCACGTCACTCATATGAAGCATGTACATTCCTATAATCTTGAATCTTGCCATTTAACCAATGTTCACATCTCTCATATCCTTGCATAAATCAGAAAATCCAGAAAATATATTTGATAGTTTTATTACAAATATATGTCTGGTTCCCAGCACCAAATAAACAGCGACATAGATTCCCAATTGCACCATCACATAGGACGAATGCTCAATTATTACAATCAAAACAACAAATCAATTCAAATATGATTTCAGCAATAAATATACATCATGAAAATTCATAGAATCATATCAAAACCATAAAATAATTCATACATGATGCTGTAAAATAAAGATACACCGATCAACAAGAAAGTTGATTATGATCAATTGTGGTGATCTCTTGAAAATATGGAATTTCGATTCAAGCTTTAAAACCTGCTTTTTGGCATACAATGACATGCATTGCTGGATGCACTGTTAACAACTTAACATAGCTTGTATAGTATTGATACCAATCTGTGAACGCTTTAATGATTCCAGCTGATGTTATTTTTCAACATGAATTCTATACAATTATCACTAATATACATAATGAAGTGAATTGCACTTCGATAACAAAAAGGGCACAAAATGTTTTAAATCGTTTTTGAATTGTTCAACTTCAATTCCAACACAGAGATATGAAGACTGACTCTTTCGAAAAGGCACATGAACAAGAGGTCACCTTGACAGATGGAGGAGATACCAGCACATACAATATGGCAGATTTATGTACACATTGAGCAGTAAATGCCATTACAATCATCTTCAAAACATAAACATAACAACATTGATACCTACCTAGACTAACTGTCGATTCATTCAGGATACATCGCACCAACGTTTGTGTGCTTGTTTTATGCCACACTCCGCAATATTAAAGCAATATGGCGGCCATCCGTAATAATCGGGTCTGGACCAGACAATCTAGTGATGAACAGCATGAGCATCGTTCTACACCATTGAGATATGATGACGTGTCAACTAAGTCAGCTAGCCTGACCCCCCGATCCCGTTAGTCAGCCTCTTATGACAAGAATGGGTTACAGAAGATCAATTTTAACCCAGATCTTCATCACATAAACAACCCTTCCATAATTTATAAGGGTTACTGCAACTAAATGATACCAAAACAAATTACCGATTTGTTGATCTGACGTTTCCTTTTCTCGGGGACAAATTATCTGGATCAGACATTTGCTCATACTTTAAGTTTTATGTTTATTTATAGCAGACATATTCTGAGAGAAACAAGCATTGTCACTAAGGTGACATAATCCCCCGCCGCAAATTATCAAATCAAAATTATAAAGTAATGAAAGTTTAAGATGAAGTTAAATGTCAACAAAAACATTATCTTGCTCTTTAGTTGTTCAAACATACACATATTTTCAAGACTGACTTTGACCTTGACATGAATGTCATAGTGTATGAAATATGCAAAACTAGTACAAAACAAATTGCTTATTGAAAAACATTCAAGGGAGGTCTTGAAAGTCTATAAAGAAAATCCAGTGAACCGTTCTTAAAATATCTTGCTGACAATTCAGGTTAACATTCTGAAATCTTCATAGTATCGTCGCGACCCTAAAAATTATGTGAAGATCACCAAAATTGACTGGGCCCTGGGCCATCCCTAGATGAAGCTTGGTGTCAAATATGGAGAAAATCCACTGAATATTTTTTGCGATATCTTGCTGTCTATCTTAAGCAATTTAACATGCTGAAATCTTCAAAGTGTCTCTGTGACCTTGAAAATTAAGTGAAGGTCACCAAAATCGACTGGGCCCTGCGCCTTCCCTAGATAAAGCTTGAGGTTGAATATGAAGAAAATCCAGGAAACGGTTCTTGAGATAGCTTAACATGCAGGTTAACATGCTGAAATGTTCAAAGTGATCCGAAAAATTAAGCCATGACCTTAAAAATTATGTGAAGGTCACCAAAATCGACTGGGCCCTGCGCGGTTCCTAGAGATAGCTTAACATGCAGGTAAAACGTTAAAGTCCCCTTGTGACCTTAACATGAAGGTCAAGGTCACCAAAGTCCCCTTGTGACCTTGAAAGGAAGGTCAAGGTCACCAAACCTAGGTACCAAATATGAAAAGAATATAGTGAACGGTTCTTAAGATATTCCAATTCATACGTACGTACGGACGGACGGAGCCTAACACTATATCCCCCGCTTCGCGCTAAACGCGCGACGGGGGATAAAAAATAAGGGATTGCATAAAATTTCAGATTTTAATCACGTCAAACATAACAGACTTGATTCATTGTTTTCAGCTCAAATAAAGTCAGTATCGAGTATGTCCCCCACGTGCTGTCATAACTGTCTGGTAACGTCCGGGCATACTTCCAATCAAGTTAGGGGCGGTGGGGGAGCCTAATGGTTAAAGTGTCCGCTCGTCACGCTGAAGACCCGGGTTTGATTCCCCACATGGACACAATGTGTGAAGCTCATTTCTGGTGTCCCCCGCCGTGATATCGCTGGAATATTGCTAACAGCGACGCAAAACCATACTCAATCACTCCAATCAAGTTAAGTCATTTAGATATCATTTTCAAAGATAGATGTGATCCTTTATTTTTTTTCCTTCAGTATATTTGGTCATGTCAAAAGTTAAACTTTCAAGTGTAAGAAATATGTATGGCTAGTTGTCGACCATCTAAACATAGCATGTTGTCATTGTTAATTTACTTACCACATACTGCCCCACAAGTAATTTAATAAGGATAGATGCTGAAATTATTCTTTTGAGGGTTAAGTGGAAACATTCAACATGATACCATGGTTGCCATAGTAAAAAGATATGTAAGAACCTCTGAGCACTTCTGGGGAAAACATTACTGGGATTGGTTACATAAAACTTCAGGTACAAAAACCTAAATATGTCATTATAAAGATTGTATTGTGATAATCAAAGTAAGTAATAGACAAGGGCCACCATGTGTCCAAATACACCAAAATGTGCATCATACCTTATTGCACATACTTCTTGCATTTCAGATTGCATAATCATGCACACACACATATAGTATGGTAATTGTGAAAAATGACATTTTCAATATGGCTGCTGTGGTGGCCATTTTCTGGCCAGTGCTGTATCTGTTAGAGACACAGTGCTGAGATCATCTATGCCAATTTTCAGTTTCATAGACCGAGACGGAGGACATGTTAAAGTTCACAACAGACAGACCGAAGACTGACGAAATGTCATTTAGTTTAGCAATTTCTGATAATAAAACAAAAACAACTCTTTTGTCCCCATCAAAATACAGCAGGCATTTATTGTTTGTCAACTATCAGTCCAACTAACAATTCACTCACCTACTTTCTGCAATGCAAATTTTAAGCTAATGTTATAGCATTGTGTAATCATCAGTAAGTTAAGTTTAGCGAAAAATGTATTTTTTTTCCACAAAGTAGTACCATAAAATATTCCAACAAAACATTCACAATTGAGCAGTTTACCTCTATTCTGACAAATACAGTAATTGAATGAAGATCAGCTGGTGGTTGCACTGATAATTTCTGATAATTAAACAAAACAACTCTTTTGTCTCCATCAACATAATAGCTATTGTTCACTGTTTGTCAATTATCAGTCTAACAGACAATTCACTGACCTACTTTCAGCAATGCAAATTTTAAGCTAATGCATAAAAAAATAGGTGAGGGATGCTTGAAGAGAAGCAGGTCAAGATGTTTACCACTTGGATGAAATCTACTGGCATGGGTATAGAGCTGAGAAACATATTCAGCTTTCGAAACCACAATATTAGGTTTCTTGCATTCAACTCTTCCAGGTAATTAGAAGATATTCAGCATTTGAAACCACAATATTAGGTTTCTTGCCTTTAACTCTTCCAGGTAATTAGAAGATATTCAGCATTTGAAACCACAATATTAGGTTTCTTGCATTCAACTCTTCCAGGTAATTAGAAGATATTCAGCATTTGAAACCACAATATTAGGTTTCTTGCCTTTAACTCTTCCAGGTAATTAGAAGATATTCAGCATTTGAAACCACAATATTAGGTTTCTTGCATTCAACTCTTCCAGGTAATTAGAAGATATTCAGCATTTGAAACCACAATATTACGTTTCTTGCCTTTAACTCTTCCAGGTTCATAAATATGTCAATATTGTACTTCATAACTTCTGAAATGCCTCTCAAAGAATTTGGAAGCATTGATGATGTCACTGAGTGAGTGAGTGAGTGAGTTTAGTTTTACGCCGCACTCAGCAATATTCCATCTATATGGCGGCAGTCTGTAAATAATCGAGTCTGGACCAGACAATCCAGAGATCAACAGCATGATGCAAAATTGGGAACCGATGACATGTGTCAACCAAGTCAGCGAGCCTGACCTCCCGAAGCCGTTAGTGACCTCCCGATCCCGTTAGTCGCTTCTTACGACAAGCATGGGTCACTGAGATCAATATTCTAACCCGGATTAATGATGTCGTTAAGGAATAGGAATATTACAAAAATCGGCATTTATAGGAGTCTGTTATTCTTATAAATATGCTAAGGGCTGACTTCATAAACATCAACATACACTGCATAAAACACTTCAACATGGTGCTTGCAGTCATGTTTGTTGTTTGTTTGTTTGTTTCCTCACACAGCAAGTTTAGGCTATATGATGAGAGGTCTGAAAACAATCTCGTCTGGACCAGATTATGCATTGACTGACATCGTGAGCATGAATCAACACAACTGGGACACAATGACATGTCTATTAGGGGCAGAACAAACCATTTTGGGGGTTGCTCAATTACAGCAAGGTCACAAAAAAGTCACAAAGTGAAATTGGGGGTTGCTTAAATTTATTACAACAGTATTGTGTGTGGGAGTGTTTTAAAATAAATAATAGTTCTTTTTGGGACATGTCACTTAAAATATGGGTAGGGCTGCCATGAAAAACATGACAGCAAATTGGGGTGTGCCTAAATTTATCCCAACTGTATGGGGTTTTAGGGAGTGGGTCATGAAGATTGTATGTGTAATATTTGGTAACTTTGATTCTCCACTTCCCAATTGTAACCAAAATAAAGAATATACCCCAATACACATTGAAAAAAATGTTACATGTACTTAATGGGGTTCAATGGCAAACATGATACAGTCCCCAATAGGCAATTTTTCAACATCTTCAAACAAACATCCAACATCCATCTGTTCAGGCTTTGAGTGAAAAAACACAATTCCCCTCCACTTGAAAATCAACAAATAAAAATATACTATATCACCCAAAATTGTCTTCCTCAGAAGCTATCACTTGGGTGAGATCAGTGAAATTGCATCACAAAGCTTTTCAGACCATTGTGACATCATCGGTTACCATGACATCACAATGAGATGATATCACTATCTCTCCTTCTGAAGCAGTTACCTGTAATTTTGTATTGAAACGATATTACTGGTCATAAACTGATATTCAGTAAACTGTTTATAACGAAATGGTTATAACAATCTGATTGATATAACAAATGTGTTTTTCCCTTCCAGTTCATGCACATTTGAGTTAAAAAATGTACAACAAATTACGGTTATAACAAACTAACATTAGATCCCTTCAAGTTTGTTATAACATTATAACATATATTCTTTATTTGTTATCCATAATGTTTGGTCAATATTGTACGTCCCAACTTCTAAAATGCCACTCGAACAGGTGATAACATAATTTACTGTCCTTGGACAAATGATTTAGGATCAGCAATAGAATTTCACTTGAGTGTCTAAACATTGTCGACAACTGACATAGTTGTCATTGAAGACAAAGTCGGGGGAAATGTTCTACTTGCCAACTTCAAGAATAGAACACTCATAGCTGGAAGACTGTCATAAGTACTTCATGGATTTGCAACTCTATTATATATTACTGCAATATACAAGTTATATTGATGTAACACATGTTTTGGGATTACACTTTCTCAGTAAAGTACAGATTCTAGTACTTTTGTTGGTTGAGTCTCATCCGGGATTCGAACCCACACCCTCAGTCAGGCATCTAACTGCCAGCACACAAAATCAACCATCAAACCCACTCAGCCACCGCAACCTCCAATACAGAGTCCACCACGAGAATCTGTACTTTACTGAGAAAATTTAATCCCAAATAAAACATGTGTTACATTTGACCACTTTCTAAATGGCATTGTGTATTCATAAGTTGTATTGATCTAAAACTATGGGAAAATTATCACAAACAAAATAACCAGTTGTGCTGATATTCTTGTATTTTCTGATTGACGAGAAATAGCAGAATCTGTACAGTGCCCCCAGCCTACATGTTTCTCCCTTACAAAATCTTTGCTGTCTGAATTTATAAACAAACGAGCTAGGGTATTTTTAAGTATTTTCTGGGAAATTGATTATAAAATCTACCCTACAGAATATTGAACAGTCAACTCTGAAGTGCAAGTTCATATAAATATGAAGGTGCCTTTTGCTGCTTCAGGTTGATCAATCCAAGTTCTAAATGTATAAATGTTTAAATATGATCTTCCTACCTAAAACAGCTTCAAAAATTGATCCAACTCACAGAGTCAAACCTATTTTGTGTTTGACTTCATTTGAGACAGATGAATTGCTCACTAACACAAAATCTAATAATTGCAACAAAACCAAATTTTGCACAGTCACATGAAATAGACAGACCAACTCTGATGATTTGTCTCATAAATTTGGACACCTGAATAAAAAAAATTGTTTAACAAACGATCATTATTTTGTTGTCACTTACCGCTATTTCTTACAAGGGAGGACCACTTGCTTGTAGAACAGCCAGATGTGCGAGTTGTACGTGTGAAATTCAAACATCACTGCACGTGCTTGTTGATTACCTGGCTGTTCTACCAGCAAGTGGTCCCCCCTCGTAAGAAATATCGGTAAGTGAAGTCAAACGGACTACCGGTATATGCAATATTTGACAACGTACAGAGTTCCAACTCCTGGTATAACATTAACATTAACTCAGGGCAACGCCCCAAACCAGCATCATTCACACAAGAGATGCCATCAATCCTATATTCCTAAGACTATTTACATATATCCCAAGTATATCCCCGTAAAAAAGAACACTGTCTCTTCAAAAATGACCCAGATACACATGTATATTTATAAATTCACACTGAGGAATAAATCGTTGTTAGACTAATAAAATATCACATGATATCACCGTAAACATTGTAAGTACATCTTAATGATAATTATAATAATAAATTTGCAGTTTGTACAGATAGAGAGAAGGTGAAGGTCATGGGTCCGTCCCTCTGTCATGAACAACGACTTCTTCATAAAAACTTTGTTCCGGTAAATGTTTCCACCGTCTTCGTAACATATCTGAAATATAATGAACCCTCATTATGTTCAGTGTAAACAAATTGTTAATATTTGAGGAAAGTATTCCACAACAGAGAGAGATGTTCATTCTGGGAATCAGATCTATGTAACAACAAGTGTTTGCCACTTGTAAGGCAATATCCCTCACCACTATAGAAGAATGAAATATAACATAATTACTAGTTTTCACCTTTTGGTCACCTAGAAGATTACCTTTTGTGTGATGTAGTTTTTAGTCATGGTCATTTATCAGAATCTTCTCCTATCTCTGAAGAGATTCAGGAATATAGTAGATTTGAATGTACAGATGCTGATGCACATATCAACTGTCAGTATCACTGTGTATTAGGACTGGGACGGGTCCAAATTTTCTACCCGGGTACCCTACCCCCTATTACCCTACCCTACCCTGATACCAGTCATGGCAATTCTTGACATCAAATTTCTAAGAAATGGCAATATATTCTTCAGCTCGGGAGGCTAAAATCGGTTACAATGTTTTATGAAATATCACTTTTACATAAGTTTGAAAAGTGGTCAAAGTGTCATGGTGACCTTGAAGATAAGGTCAAGGTCACCCAAATTGACTGGTGTCTGCGTAATCCCCAATGTAGGCTGTCACCGAATTTGAAGACATTGGGTACAACAGTTCATGAGATATTGCTTTAACAAGAATCGGGACGTACGTAGGTATGCTGCTGAATACATAGTCCACAGTTTCGCGTTGCGGCAGGGGACAACTAGCCCATTAAGAATAGACAGACCCCAACTTCTGACTACCCGTGAAGATCCAGGTTAGAATTTGTCTTCATTAACCCATGCTTGTTGTAAGAGCTGACTAACAGGACTAACGCCATCGGATCCCAATTGCATAGCACGATGCTCATGATGTTGATCACTGGGTTGTCTGGTTCAGACTCGATTATTTACAGACTGACGCCATATAGCTGGAGTATTGTTGAGTGCAGCGTTAAACACGAAACCAACCAACCAACATACCTCCAACACTTGTGAGTGCATGACTATCTTGAAAACTCCACTTCATGTAATGAATTTTCTTCCTGTAGCACATGCCTGTGCACCATACACACAGGCTGAGTAAACACAACAGGAACACCATGCACATGAACGCTATCTGTGCATCACGAGCTCTGTAACAGAAGGATGACTCACAGTTTACCACCACACTGAAACGACACAGCAGGTCCACCTCTGTCTCATGCATGTGAAAACCAGAACCTCTGTCTCACATATCTGATTATATCAGTTAATCATTAGTTAGCAGTTAACCTTTAATTCCTTTGTTGTGTGTATCCATTAACTGTAAACCATCCAATCCTTTGTTTTAGTAACTTATACTTCTGTTCATAGAAAACTATTACAATTGGTTCCCAATTGTGTAGATCGATGCTCATGCTGTTGATCACTGGATTGCTGGTCCAGACTCGATTATTTACAGACCGCTGCCATATAGCTGGAATATTGCTGAATGTGGCGTAAAACTACACTCACTCACTCAGAAAACTATTACATCATATGTTCCATATGCTGTGTGGTACAGTACACATTTTCTTTCATCCTCTGTAGCACATACTCTATATTAAACCCTTACTTACATCCTCTGTAGCACATACTCTATATTAAACCCTTACTTACATCCTCTGTAGCACATACTCTATATTAAACCCTTACTTACATCCTAGCACATACTCTATATTAAACCCTTACTTACATCCTTACATCCTCTGTAGCACATACTCTATATTAAACCCTTACTTACATCCTCTGTAGCACATACTCTATATTAAACCCTTACTTACATCATTTGTTCCCTATGGAATTTGGTAATTAACTTCCGCACTGCAGAGTAGTTCCCCTTCGCTGTCCATTCATCTGGCACGGGATAAAATGTTACAAATGCATCCTCATGGCGTGACACACTTGTGTTATTGGTCCTTTCACTTCCAGACACTGACCGTTTCGGTCTTGGCGTTGAGTCAGAGACTCCTAATACTGTTATACTGGATGCTGTGTCAGCCTCGTCCTTCTTCTCTTGGACAGAAACATCCCTTTTTCTTCTATGTATTTTGTGATATAAAATGTCAGTTCCTTTGGATATCTTGTTCTTTGTATGCATGGTGGAATATATCTTATCTTTGGTATAGTTTGTCTTGGAAGACTTTGATTGTACAGCGGAAGCATTGTCAAGTGTTCCATCTTTTATTAATGGAAGACTCTTGCGTTGGTTTCGAAACTTTGAAGTTCGAAGCATGTGCCATCTTTTCTTAAACCAGCGAGGCTCTGTTGCAGTCTTTTCAGAAGGTACCAAGGGTTTTCTATTGTCATGAAAATGCTGCCATTTCAGCATATTTGTCTGCTGAATGTCAGATTCAACAACTGGATTCCGACTTGATGGAATGTTTTTGTATATCAATTCTAAACGTTTCTCCTGAGTGACATCCCTTCCCAACTGCACTTTACTACTGACCATCTGAAAAGAAAACCCCCCAAAACAAATATGATTATTATTTACATAACAGGTTGTAGAGGGAGTAATAAGAAAAGTATAATACTTTAAGGATAACAACTTTTTTATTTTATTATGATGCGACGTTTGGTATAGCTTCTTATACCGTTGTCAATCAAACAGATGTGAGGAGTAGTTTGCATTTGTGAACACAACAATGTTCCACAACTGATTTTCAGCAATACGCCTGTAAATTTCACTGCTATTTTATCCTTCATACCTAATAGTGACTGTTTTGGCAGATAACTGAGACTATGTCTTCTATTGTGTTGACACTTATATTTGCCACAACTAAAGCAACTTTATATCAAAAGGACTTTTCCACAATCATTTGAAAAAGTTCATGAAACATTCAAGTTGGACTGAAAAATTTAACTTATATTAATGATTGCATCTATGAAACATTATTCGTGAATACAATAGACTGAATTTAAACAATATAAAGTTAATTTGATTATTTACACTCCCATACACAGTACAGTAAGTAGAACATAAATAATATGTATACATCATCATCATCATGATAACATCACCATTAACAATCATTTAAAATACATCTAATGCAGCAGTCGAGAATGTTGAGAACAGCTTTGTGTTATATAGAAATTATTGTGCAAGAGTTATTTTTAAATAATTAATCAGATATTTGCCATCGTGGATTATTCGAGTAGAATACTCAGTTTAATGAGTCATTGTTTACACTGGCATAGTCTAGTAGGAAGACTGTTTGCTCGTCAGAGCAAAGACCTGGGTTTGATTCCCATGTTGGGTACAGTGTGTGGAGACAGTTGTGAGTTGGCTGGACTCTTAGGGACCGTTCATAATTTATGGCTGGGGGGGTGATGATGATTTTTATGGAGAAGCATGTACAATGTGAATACCCCCCCCTAAAATTTATGTACAAAGTAAGTGACCCCCCTGCATGTCTTGTACAAAATGAATGACCCCCCCTCCCTCTCCCATAGGTTTTAAGCATAATTTTAAAATATTTTTATGTACAAAATTGCTGAACACCCCCCAGTGCATGTGTACACAACTGATGTCCCCCCTACATCCCCACGATCCCTTATAACTTATTGCCAAACCTCATTGTGACGAAAATGAATGACAACATTACGAGATTAAATTTTGATTGTGACAATCAACATAATACCACTGCTGATATTGTGACTACAAGCAGAGACAATCGTGATTTCATATACGATATATCATATGGTCAGCTGACGTCTCTACTGGACCTAAAACTTTATCTTGGTTTCTGTCCGAACTAATTTACCTACGTGCTTGTCAAGCATAAACCATCTTACCTTTGACGCAAGCACTATACATACGACATATGTTATGTACTTCAGAGGCCATATCTCACAAAACATATTAGTTGATGGACGCTAACATTAACTGTTTCTTAAAATTGACATGCTGGAGCTTTTGCCTCGTCACGGATCAATAATCCAGGGGAGGCCACTCTAATTTTCAGCAGGTGCCCGTTGTTATTTTGAAGCCAACATAAAATATTATGATATATGAAGTAAGGATAAGATCTGCGAATGAACGATTACTTTATTACAATAATTGTACAAACGAAGAACAGAATATTAATGAGAAGCGTATATTCTATCCTTACCTCAACTTCTTAAATGCCACACAAAAACGTTATGGCGTTAATATTGCCAGAAGCACATATAAAATACTCATACCGAAATGTACTGTATATTCTCATAAAAGAAAACGGTAAGTAATAGTGATTCAGTGAGCGAGTATGGTTTTACGCCGCTTGTAGCAATATTCCAGCTACATCACGACGGGGGAGACCAGAAATGGGCTTCAAACATGCGGGGAATCGAACTCAGGGCTTCACAGCGTGACGAGCGAACGCTTTAACCACTAGACTACCCCACCGCTCCGGTTGATTAATATGTTTACATAGAACACCAAACCACATATCTCTGACGAAACATATTATCGTTGCTGCGTTCAGTTGGAAAATAGCCTACGTGAAGTCTTGCAAGAATTAAAATATGTATGACAATTCATTATATATTAACCGTTTGAGTTAACCGTTCAGGACACACTGACTTCCCAGTACTTCGTGCATATCACAAAAATGGGCATAGATCACGAAAGATATAAGATTGGCATATCACAAAAGATGACTAAAATGGGCATAGATCACGAAAGATGACTAAAATGGGCATAGATCACGAAAGATGACTAAAATGGGCATAGATCACGAAAGATGACTAAAATGGGCATAGATCACGAAAGATGACTAAAATGGGCATAGATCACAAAAGATGACTAAAATGGGCATAGATCACGAAAGATGACTAAAATGGGCATAGATCACGAAAGATGACTAAAATGGGCATAGATCACGAAAGATGACTAAAATGGGCATAGATTCCAGTTTCTCCAATATAATGTTCACCATACACCCCGCACGAAAGATATAACAATTTTGCTAAAATTTATGTTGGCATAGATACGAAAGATGACTAAAATGGGCATTCAGGGGCGACGGGTTAACTTAATAGCTAGAGCGCCCGCTCGCCACACTGAAGACCCAGGTTCGATTGACCACAAGATGACTAAATTTAAAATGTGTAATGCCTTTATGTCGGTATAGGGAAATACAGTGCAGTCCCAGCTATCACTATAAACCCGGCATTAGTCCGGACTAATAAACACCCACCGCTATACATGCACGTCGCCATTAATCTGAAGAACAGTTGCACTTAAACACCAGACTTCGTACAATAGCTATGTATCTTAGCTATAGCGTCCCTGGACAATTTTGCCGAGGGAAAATGATTATGAGAGCCTGTTTGAACATTTCAGTCCAGACTTTCGTTTGCATGCCCTATTTCATATGGCGTCTTACATTATACCTTATCAGGCCAGGAATTGTACCACCTGGTCAGTGACTCACATCATTGCTACCTGGATTGTCAATATATTCTCGGAAACAAAGTGCGTGAGATTATATCAGTATAAATATATGTGTGCGTGCGTGCGTGCGCGCGTCCGTCCGTGTGTGTAAATGAAATGCGACAAAGCAGCTGGGTATAAAATTAAATGTATCGGATCTTATTTCAAACCATTAAAATAGCAATCGTTACGTCTGTACTATGTATGTATGTATGTGTGTGTGTATGTGTGTATGTGTATGTATGTATGTATGTATGTATGTATGTATGTATGTATGTATGTATGTATGTATGTATGTATGTATGTATGTGTGTGTGTGTGTATGTATGTATGTGTGTGTGTGTGTGTGTGTGTGTGTGTGTGTGTGTGTATGTATGTATGTATGTAGATATACAGTTCAAACTGAACATACGGAACTATTTCAGGATTACTCGGCAACAACAGGTAACATAACAGTACATTAACCGTTGCAATCATATTTAAGTAAATCTACACGACGAATGGCTGACAAAGCCTGAGCCTCACTCCTCTGATGAAGGTCAAGAATAGTCAGGGCCCTCCAAGATCCAGACACTTTAGCCTAGTGGTCTAAACGTTCGCTCGTCTCGTCGAAGACCCGGGTTCGATTCCCAATGTGTAATGCTCTGGTGTCCCCTTCTGTGATATTGATGGCATATCGATAAGAGCAGCGTCAAACTGAACTCACTCACTCACTCACTCACTCACCCACTCACTCACTCACTCAACTCTAGCCTTTACATTCTGAAGCAGTTGCCTACATTAGCGGCGTACAGGCTGTTACCATTTGGAGGTGTCCACAGTGGGATTCATTTGAATCCAGTGCAATCCACAGCAATCTATTTTCAGCTCAAGGGGCGTTGCGTACCTCGTTTGAGTTGCGATGTGGCTGATTTCAATTTTAACTTAATCACTCTTCAGGTGAGACAACAGATGTATCCACTGTGTTGACTTAGGAGATTATCCTATTGTGTTTATATTTTGGAAGTGATTATAGTTGGTTGAACGCTGCTAAATGAAACTATAATCGCTTCCACAATGTAAACACAACAGGATTATCTCCATTCTACCATGACATATGCACCATGAATAAAACGCGTTTTAAATATGCACTCATTACCCGTGTGTAGTGTTTTGACACTACTGGGACAGAGCCTTTTAAATGGTTTCGCCCATACTGGGGGTGAAACAGGAAAAAGAAACAATTTACATAGTGTCAAATGTTTTAATTATTTCCACAACGAAGTTTTCTTCAAATCCAGACAATCCAGTGATCAGCATCATGAGCATCGATAAACGCTAGGATACGATGACATGTGTCAACCAAGTAAGCGAGCCTGACCACACAATCCCGTTCGTCGACTCTACGACAAGCACTGTTTGACCAATTCTAACCCGAATCTTTACGGGTTTCTATCCACCAGAGAATCGAAGCGGAAATATTCCAACCCGTAAAGGATTGGCCATGGTATTGGGCTGTTGATATCTCAACCTTTTTGTGACCCTCCAGTGTTTTTTATGAAGAGGTTGGTTGACCAATAACATGCATAACAACTTAGATTTTTTGTATAAGTTTTTAGTGAGTTTTACATGGAACCACCGTATCCATGACAACTACATTTGACCTCTCAGAAATGGTGGTTGTAGAAGTGGTGTTCACGCTGAAACATACATCACACCATGATACATAAAAAACCGCACATGTGAGAGTGAGTTTAGTTTTACGCCGCACTCAGCAATATTCTAGCCATATGGCGGCTGTCTGTAAATAACCGAGCCTGGAAAAGACAATCCAGTGATCAGCAACATGAACATTGATCTGCGCAATTGGGAACCGATGGCATGTGTCAACCAAGTCAGCGAGCCTGACCATCCGATCCCGTTAGTCGTGTTACTAAAAACGGCGTACAAATAAACTCACTCAAAGTAGAATCCGTTCGTCGCTTCTTACGTCAAGCATGGGTAACTGAAGATCAATATTCTAACCCGGATCTTCACGGGTCGCACATGAAGGAAGATTTTCAAATCTTTCATATATATACTTAATTTGAACTTGATTTCTTTGACAGATACTGGTGTATACATGTCCAAATATTGATGAAACACGTTCTTTATGTGCACATTCAGCCTGGATGGATTCCATTTTGAATTAGTCACCTGCTATATGTGCGTGTCTTAATGGTTGGTACCCGTGAAGATCCTGGTTAAAATTGATCTTCAACAACCCATGCTTGTCGTAAGATAGACTAACGGGATTGATCGTCTGGTCAGGTTCGTAAACTAGATGACGTACAGGCCGCTGTCATATCTAGTGCGGCGTTAAACAAATAACAAACATGTAATGTGGAAAACTAAATTGGTTAAAGAACGCAAACAGTTATTATTTATATACCCGTTTTAGATTATCAGTGTGCAGATCATGTCACAAACATAAAAACTGAAGGATGGGTGTGGAAAGAGTAGGGGAAAACACGTGCAAAGTCTCTGAGTCAACTAAAAATATCCTTCAAAAACATCATATGTACATGTAACAATCACTTATCATTAAGTGCAACCAAAGCATTACAAAAACGCCATATTTCCAGACAGCATAACATCACCTTTGGCCGGATTTCCAAATATTAGATACCGAAAGCCTGTCAGTTAACTCAAAGGAAATAACCCTTGTGTTTTACAGTGATGGCTTAATCATAGTCACAATGAATTATAGGCTGCTATGTGTTTTCAACTGTGATTGAGTAATTGAAATACTAATATTTACCAAATATAATTCTAAAGGAGCCTTTCTTCAAGCAGTGATTTAAAGCCATACATAGCTAGATTTGCTTAGATAATAGACTTCATATAAGGCATCATAGATATTTCACAAACATGGTACACGACCCTTAGCCTCATTAGCGTATTGCCTCACCACTTGCGACTTAGGCGTTGGCAGATGTAAATGTTACTGGAGATGTTGGTCCCCGCCAGATATGGGTGTTTGGTATGTTTAGTCTGTAGCCCGAACCCTGCAGTGAATTTTCCTGCAGATTTATATAACGGACGCTGAACCATAGGGCGTAAACATTACAGTAAGGGCTGTGCGGAAGGGGGGAATAATATCGTTCTGTGACTATGATACAGCAGAGACCATACAATAGACTATCATATGGTCTCTGGATACAGATTGGGACAAGATATGGAAAACAAAATATTTGGACAACAGACCATTGTTTGGGTCTTTTAATTGTAAATATGATTCATATAGCTTAACATAGATTTCGATATCCTTCGAATGTACATTTGGTTGAAACTGGAAAGTATACATTTATCCCGTGACAAGAACGAATGTTTACTTATAATTCAAAAGTATACCAGCACGAGTATCCGTTTAGTCTTTTGTCTTCTACCCGTCCCTACATACGCTCAATCACGTGTTTCCCAGGTCACGGAGCATCAGTCGTTTAGGGGCCCGTATTGCAATTCTCGTGCGTTTCTATGTGTT